CCTAACAGGAGTCCTCATTTCTACACAAAGTCATGGGAACTAAACAACCTTCTGCTAAATGATCACTTCATAAACGAGGAAATCAACATGGAAATCAAAAGATTCTTTGAACTAAATGACAAAGGTGACACAAGTTACCAAAACCTGTGGGACATAGCTAAAGCAGTCCTGAGAGGAAAGTTTATTTCCATAAATGCCTATATCCAAAAGTCGAAAAGATCACAAATAGACACCCTAATGAATCATCTCAAAGAGCTGGAAAAAGAAGAACAGACCAACCCCAAACCCAGCAGAAGAAGTGAAATCAACAAGATCAAATCAAAACTAAATGAAATTGACAACAGGGAAACTATATGGAAGATTAATAAAACAAAAAGTTGGTTCTTTGAAAAAAATAAACAAAATTGACACACCATTGGCTAAACTAACAAAAAGAGAAAAGAAAATTTTCTAATAAGCTCCATCAGGAAAATAAAGGAGAAATTACAACTGAAGCCATTGAGATACAAGATATAATTTATGAATACTACAAAAACCTCTATGCATACAAACTGGGAAATGTGGAGGAAATGGACAATTTCTTAGAAACACACAGCCTCCCTAGGCTCAACCAGGGAGAAATAGAATTCCTGAACAGACCAATATCAAGTACTGAAATTGAAACAGCAATAAAAAACCTTCCTAAAAAGAAAAGTCCTGAACCAGATGGTTTCACACCCAAATTCTACCACACCTACAAAGAAGAACTGGTGCCTATCCTGCAGAAATTATTCCACAACATCGAGAAGGATGAAATTCTCCCCAACACATTTTATGAAGCGAACATAACCCTGATACTAAAACCAGGAAAGGATGCAACAAAAAAAGAAAACTACAGACTAATATCTCTTATGAATATAGATGCGAAAATTCTAACAAAGTCCTAGCCAATCGAATCCAGGTGCTTGTCAAGAAAATAATTCATCACAACCAAGTGGGCTTCATTCCAGGGATGCGGGAATGGTTCAACATATGCAAATCTATAAATGTAATTCACCATATAAACAGAAGCAAAAACAAAGACCATATGATCCTCTCAATACATGCAGAGAAAGCATTTGACAAAATTCAACACCCTTTTATGATAAGAATGCTCAACAAAATAGGCATACATGGGGCTTACCTAAAAATGATACAAGCCATATATGACAAACCCACAGCCAATATCATACTGAATGGGGAAAAATTGAAAGCATTCCCACTTAGAACTGGAACAAGACAAGGTTGCCCACTATCTCCACTTCTGTTCAACAAAGTGCTGGAAGTTCTAGCTACAGCAATCAGACAGGGAAGTGGAATTAAAGGTATCCAAATAGGGGCAAAAGAGATCAAACTTTCACTGTTTGCTGATGATATGATATTATATTTAGAAAACCCCAAAGATTCAACAAAGAAACTCCTGGAACTGATAAATGCATTTAGTAAAATCTCAGGATACAAAATCAATACACAGAAACCAGAGGCATTCATATACGCCAACAACAATCAAATTGAGCACCAAATCAAAGACTCAATTCCCTTCACAATAGCAACAAAGAAATTAAAGTACCTAGGAATATATTTAACCAAAGAGGTAAAAGACCTCTACAGGGAGAACTATGAAATACTGAGGAAGGAAACAGCAGAGGACGTAAACAGATGGAAGAATATACCTTGCTCATGGGTTGGCAGAATCAACATTGTTAAAATGTCTATACTACCCAAAGTGACCTAAAGAGTCAATGCAATCCCTATCAAAATACCATCATAATTTTTCACAGATATAGAAAAAATAATTTTACACTTCGTATGGAAACAGAGAAGACTCCGTATATCAAAATCAATCCTAGGCAATAAAAACAAAATAGGAGGTATCAATTTACCAGACTTCAAACTATACTACAAGGCTATAGTCATATAAAAACAGCTTTTACTGGACAAGAACAGGACATTGACAGTGGAAACAGAACAAGAGATATAAACCATCCTCATATAGCCAACTAATCTCAACAAAGCAGACAAAACATACACTGGGGAAAGAATCCTTATTCAAAATGGGTGCTGGAAAACTGGATAGCCACATGTAGAAGACTGAGATAAGACCCACACCTTTCACTTCTCACAAAAATCAACTCACGCTGGGTAACAGACTTGACCTTAGGTGTGAAACTATAGAATTCTAGAGGAAAATGTTGGAAATACTCTTCTAACATGGCTTAGGCAAGAATTTATGAAGAAGACCAGGCAATCACAACAGTAACAACAATAAACAAATGGGACCTGATCAAATTAAAAGACTTCTTCACAGCCAAAGAAACTGTCAAGAAAGCAAACAACTACCACACAGAATGGGAGAAAATTTTTGCAAGCTACACATCTGATAAAGGGCTGATAACTAGAATCTATTTAGAACTCAGGAAAATCAGCAAGAAAAAAATCAACAACTACATCAAAAATGGGCAAGGACACGAACAGAAACTTCTCAAAAGAAGACAGAATAATGGCCAACAAACATATGAAAATGATTCAAATCTCTAATCATCAGGGAAATGAATCAACACAATGAGAATATCACTTAACTCCAGTGAGAATGCCCTTTATCAAAAAGTCCCCAAACACAAATGCTGGCATGATGATAGAGAGAGAGGACACTCCTATACTGCTGGTGGGACTGCAAACTATTCAAACCTCTGTGGAAAGCAATATGGAGATACCTCAAAGCGATACAGTAGATCTACCATTTGATCCAGCAATTCCATTACTGGGCATCTACCCAAAGATCAAAAGTCACTTTATGAAAAGACACCTGCACTCGAATGTTTTAGCAGCACAATTCACAATTGCAAGCTGTGGAACAACCCAAGTGCCATCAATTCATGAGTGGATTAATAAAATGTGGTATATGTATACCATGGAATACTATTCCGCTTTAAGAAACAATGGTGATATAGCACCTCTTGTATATTCCTGGATATAGCCGGAACCCATTCTACTAAGTGAAGTATCTCAAGAATGGAAAAACAAGCACCACATGTACTCACCAGCAAATTGGTATTAACAGATCAACACCTAAGTGGACATATAGGAGTAACATTTATCGGGTGTCAGGAGGGTGGGAGGGGGGAGGAGGGGATGGGCATATACAACCACAACGAGTAAGATGTGCAACATTTGGGGGATGGACACACTTGAAGCTCTTACTCAAGGGGGGAGGGGGGCATGGGCAATATATGTAACCTTAACACTTGTACCCCCATAATACGCTAAAATAAAAAAAAATTTTTTTGGTATAAAATTATTTTGTAGTTATTTTTTAATACTTTTCTTTTAGAGATGCATACTTTAATATTTTGGGATAAAATGAACTTTGCTTTAAATAATCTTGTTTGGGGTGGGGGTACAGATGAAATAAGATTGACCATAAATTGATAATTTTTAGATAATGAACACATGGGACCTCATTAACTTTTGTATGTTTCCAGTTTTCCTGATTTAAAAGAAAAAGGAGCCAGCATCCCTGGGACCCACACTAATTAATTATAGAGGAAGAAGGGTAGCGCACCAGAAAGGAAAGGAAGTCAATCTTTGGCTAAATATTCTAATGAATAACTTTACATGGTTTCTGTAGAAAAAAGAGAGAAGCAGAGTAAAGTAATGAAAAAAGCTCTGACTTAGCACTAGGAGACCCAGATTTGAGCTCAGCGCCACCAATTCCCAGCTGATGACTGCATCACCTCTCTGAGCTTCACTATGCTCACCTTTAAGATGAAGCTGCAAACTAATTATCTGTAAGCTGTGGGGTTAAAGTCTCCCTCCTTAAAATCTGTCCCAAATGATGGGTATGTGCATTCTCAACCCTAACTTTTGTAGGACTCAGGATAAGAATACAAAAGCAGGTCTACTAACCATATCTGAACATTTAAAAACTATAAATCAAGATAACAGATTGTTAAATGAAACATGTTCTATCCTCCCACATTGATCAGTATACTTTCATGACCCAGAAGACCAGGTTCATTCAAAACTCACAGATTCCTGGAGGTTCCACACCTGATGTGCAGCATGAGCAGAACCAGCCCCAGGCCATGGCCCACCCTTCTCTTCTCATCCCCAGCTCCCAAGCTTACTGGGAGAGGCCACACATAGAGCTATTCCAGTACACATGTCCAAGCTCTGGGCACATTCCTCTCTAAGTAGCCTCCTCTTAGGTACCTCAAACTCAGCAGTGCTCACACTGGTCGGACAGTTCACCCTTGAGAGGGTGAACCCAGGAAAGAGGCCTGCACAGGCATGGAAGCAGGCATGAGGTCACTGGACAGGGAATTCCCTGGTTCCAGTTACCAGAAACAAAGTCTAGAAGGAAAGAAATAGACTCCAACTAGGCATACAACTCCTTGGCTCTGCAGACTTCTCCCCCCTTGAGGAATAGCTTGGCCAGGAGGCCAGAGCAGGACTTTCTAAAGCATGGGGGCAACATAAGGGCTTTTCTTGCCCAGATCTAAGGTACTGAGTATGTGAAAGTTTCATTGTATTATTCTCTTTCCTTTTATGCAATTTTTAAATTTTAGTATATTAAAATTTTTTTAAAAAACTGAAACATAAAAAAATCCTAAAAACCGAGTTAGAAGTCCCCTGAGACTTTGAAACTGAGTCTCTATGAGCATCACTGAAACTTTCCCACAGACTCAGTTCTCCAGAAACTGGAGCTTTATAGTCTCCCCGATTAATATAAGTCCAGTTCTACATACCTGGGGACACAATGAATATTATTCAATAATGCTGTGGATTCTATCTCCAAAAGAAATCATTTCTAGGGAAAGAGAAAAATCTAAGGAGTACCATGGGGGTTCCCATAGGCCAGATCCAGCTTCCTACAGCTGGAAACCTTTCAGAGTTTTAGAGATGAGATAAAGATGACACAGAAAATGGTTACCAAGAAACATCTCTTCCCTCCTTCCAGAATTAGAAAATGAGTCTTTTGATTGAGAATCAGTTGTGTTTAATCACTAAAATTATTCTGACCCTAATGGAAGAGAAATAATCTAAGTTTCAAAGGGGTTGGAGCTTTTTCTCCCTCAATTAGAGGCAAGTAGAGGTAAATAAAGAAAACAGAATCCCTAAGTTCAGGCCCTAGTAAAGGCTCCAGAGAGCAGAAGCCCCCTTTCCTTTCTGCCCTTATGTCAAAGGTTGTTGTCCTCAGGATGCCAAGCATCCTGCTCTGGAATAAGGCTGCCCCAAGTGATACTTTCAGTCTGTGCCTCCAGAGACTTCATACTGTGCTCCAAAGCATTGGTTCTCCTCATCCTCATCCTTGTCCTCATATTCATCTTCATCATCAGAGCCCTGAAGAATCCTTAGGAGTTTGAGCTCAGGGCTCCAGGTTCTTCCAGGCATGGAATCCTGGGCTTCCTGCCCAGGCTCCACTGGAGCACTAATATCCTTTATAGTGAGTTCTGCTTCAGACAATACAGGACCTAAAAGAAGATCCAACCATTAATTGCATCTGTGACAAATAGAGGACAGAAAAGAAAAGACTGGGGTGTTTGTTAGGACCTCCCTGAAGGAAGACTGTGCCTTCAGGGAGGTAAACTAACTATCCTGGTCAACACAGGTTCAGCTCTCCCCATCCTCATCACTTATTAAGGCTCCTCCATCCTAATAACTTACTTTCCATACTGAGGTAGTCATTCATGTACTTCTCTAACTGTTCCATCTTTGTTCTCTCTGTGTAATCCTGAAATTCATTGGGGTAAGTGTAAGGAAACTTGAATCAAGACATTAGGAAACTAAAAGGATTTTTCTAAAAGATGCTTTTCTCATAGAAATTAATATCTAAAACAGACCAAAGCCCCACCTTCTAGGACTGAAGAGAAGCTAGTATCACATGTTCTTTGCCCTCCAAGCTGCCCAGATGAAGCCAGAATCTACTTTTCGCCATTCCCAGTGGTCTATTCAGATAGGGCAAACCACTTCCAAAGATGGCTGCCAACATTTCCTCCCATTCCTGTACGCACATGCTATTCCCCACATAAAGAGGTGGAGTCTATTTCCTCTCCTCTTGGATCTGGGCTGGACCTGTGACTTTTTGGGGCTACTAAAATGTGGCATAAGTGATCCTATTTTAATTCTAGGCCCATCCTTTAAGAAAGTGCTTTTATGAGACTACTATACCATCAAGAAGCCCAAACAAGCCACATCAAGAGAACTCAGGCAACTTGGCCAACAGCCCCAGCCTAGCTGCATTAAGTGACCTCAAGCAAGACAAGAATAAATGTCCAGTTGACCCACAGAAACATTAGAAATAACAAATTATGATGGCTTAAGTTTTGTGGTGGTTTGTTACATAGTAATAGATAACTGAAACTGGGTCCTAGCAAAGGCCCTGGTACACTCTCACCTGTTTCAAGGTGGCATGTTCTAGCTCCATCTGCTGCTGCTGCTTCATGTCACTTTCCTGATCTGGCAGAGTTCTGTGACCTAGTAACCACAAAGCTAGTTCAATCCTCCTCCTATTGGCATTTCATATCCCATTTTTGGGCTTCTAGTTGATCCCTAGTCTACAAGCGACTCCCCATCCAGGACAAGACAAGACCTTGGTAGCAGGTAAAAGGGAGTTTGACCTTCTTAATTCTATTTGAGATTCTGTCCTCCTGGAACTGTGACCATATCTATTACAGAATTAAAGATTGAGGTAAACTATGTGTTTAAAGACCCAGGACTCCTCCAAGAAACCTAAGGTGTGGGTACCTGCACATTATAGCAGCAAAAGAAACCCTAACTCTGCCTTGTCAGTTTGTGAATACTCCTCTAACGAGAATGTGTCTCATCTTTTTGCACCATCACTAACGTACCCACATTGGCTTCTGAAAAACAAGCAAATTTTTAAAAGCTCTAGTTTTACATTTCTTTTGCATCAGCTGCTTCCCCAACTAGTCCCTAAATATATGCATTCTTTCCTTTCTCAATCTCCCTTTCTCTAAACAAACATGTTCCAAGCTGCCACTAGAGATATTACGCTAAAGGACAGCATTTCTATTGGCTCCCTCCCAGTACCGGTTCTCACTTTAGCTGCACCCTGGGAGCACTGGGGAACTTTTAAAAACACTAAGGTCCTCGACATCAGAAACTGTGAGTTAATACATCTGGGGAGCATCCTGGTATTAAAGTTCTAAAAACTTCTCAGTTGGTTTCAGTGTGCAGTCAAAGTGGAGCATCACTGAACTGGAGGACAAAGGTCAAACGTCTTTGCAATCTGCATAACCCCCTACCTACCTCTTTAGCTTGATCTACCACTCTCCCTTAAATACCCAACCCCACAGCCACACTGAACTGCTCAGTGTTTCCTGAGCAGTCATGCTCCTTCAAGATGCCTTTGCACAGGCTATTCCCACTTCCAGGAATTCTTTTCCATGTCAGGAAAACTCCCACATACATTCAAGATCCGATGCAAAAATCATCTCTTCCATAAGCCTGTCTCATCTCAGTGAGGATGGGCCACCACTCTAAGAATATGAATCACAGGGGCACCCAGTCATGCAAGCAAAACTCTTCCTATTGGAGGCATCAGAAAGAGGAACAAAAGGCACCAGAATGGAATTTAGGGGAGTGGTAGTGATCAGCCTGGACAGGAAGCTAACCTTGGACATGTCATCTCCTGCCCTGGGTCACAGCCCTGATTCTATCTACCTCCCATGTAAAGGGCAAGAACTTTCTTAGATCTTCAGGTTAGAAGACATAGCTGGCATCAGAGAGCTAAGTGGGATGGGAAGAAAAATAAAAGGGGAACATCCTTTCCAGGAAACATCTCGCCTGAGCCCTCCTAGTGCCCCAGGACTGGAGAGTTAATTCTGATGATTAAACAGCTGCTTCCACATTAAAGTCAGCAATGTCCAGTCTGAGCAGGGCACAATGATCTTCCAAGGTTATGGGGGATTCTTTTTCCCTCTCTCCCATTTTGTACTCAAGCTGAGAAATGTCAGAGGGACAGGGGTAAGTATATCCCTCAGCTCGGAACATGATAAGGACTCCAAAAAGGAGAGATGTCCATTCTCATCTCCAGCATGAGCCCTAGAGGAAAACAATTGCCTGACAAGAGTTAGTTACCTGCCTCCTGAATGAGGCTAGACAATGTGTTGATTTCAACATGAGGCTCCAGAGACTCTCTAGCTTGTCCAGGGAAGCCAGGAGCCTTGGAGCTCTGCTTACTTACAACTCTTCTGGGCTCTAATGAGGGGCCCCAGCTCTTCCCTGCCTCACTGGACAATGGGCCCTCAGGGGTCTTCTCTGCAGTAATCTGGGCTTGCCCCTGTTCTTGATCCTCCAACTACTCTGTGTTTTCTAAAGGAGGACTTGAGGGGAAAATGACAGTGACTCATGCTTGTGATCATCTCTCAAATCCCCACACAAGCAGACATCTGGCCCAGCTGGGTTGCTTAGTAAATATTTGATGGAAGAATGATGCATGGTAGACCAGCCAGACTGAAGCATTCCAAGAAGAATTCTGAATGTCTGACAAAAGCAGGTTTCAAAAGGCAGGGACTTTTCCTGGCCTTCACTATGTCCTGGGATTCTAACACCCCCTGAATTCCACCCCCAACCGGGCACATGCTCTCCTTACCAGAGAGACCGTCATGAGCAATGGCAACTGACTGTTTATAGGAAGTTCTCTGGCTCCCTGGATCACTTTTGGCTTTCTTTTTAACCTCCTAAAACCCATATGAGGAGAAAACGAATTAGGACTTTTGAAAGTGAAGAAATTTTTTTTCAGAAAGAGTCTAAAAGAAGGAATTTAACATCTACAACTAGACAGGAACTTTATGTCTATAACCAGAGAACAGGGAGACGCCCTCCCACCTCTTATACGCCCCTGCCCATTCCAGGCTGCACCCACTTCCGCCAGTCCCAGCAGGTCCCTCAGTGCCACTCTACCTGTTTGCTAGTAGGTGTTTTCACCATCCTCTGTTGCTGTCGCTGCTGCTGCTGCTGCTGCTGCTGTCGCTGCTGCTGCTGCTGCTGCTGCTGCTGCTGCTGCTGCTGCTGCTGCTGCTGCTGCTGCTGCTGTTGCTGCTGCTGCTGCTGCTGCTGCTGCTGCTTACTTGGACCTGGTGACCAGAGTACCAGCTCTACCTTCTTCTCACTGACAGTCCCCACCCTCCCACAGGGCTGCCTTCTGGGCCCTGTTCCACAGGTGACTCTCTCCCTGATCAGGACCAAGTGAGAGAGTGGGGGGTGGCTCCTGAAACCAGAGTTTCCTGAGTTCTACATGTGACCCCACATGACTAGGCCATAAATGTAACTGAATCCGACCAAGTCAACGTATGAGAACTGTGGGCTGGGCAGGAACAGCACTTAGAGTTCCAGCAGCACTGGCAAATCTACCTTCTGTCTTCAGGTTACAATTCAATTTCTTCAAATGTTCAGGATATCTCAATGCTGGTTTCTGGAGGAAAAAGAAGAAGAAAAGTTCTACTGTAGGTCTTTCCCTTTCCCCCAAAATGCATTTATTTATCTCGTCAGCAAGCACATTTTGAGAACCCAGTGTTTCGGAGCATTGTTCCAGGACTGTGGAGGAAGGAAAACGTTGTGGGGAACAAAGTGCTGAAGAAACAGAGAAGACTGCTCTCCTTAAACTCTTCCCCACAGATTGGCCTTCACCTACCTATAAGCCCAGCCTTCTATGGGGCTTGGGTCCAGAGCAGAAGGGCAGAAGAGAAAGAAGAAACAGAAAGTCAACTCTACTGGCCTTGAAGAGAGATGAGTTCGGATTTTCATGTAGACCTCTTCCTCTGAGGCTCCCCAGCTCTTACCTGCAGGGTGAGGCGGTGTACAGATAGATACATCTTTGAAGAAATTGCACTGTCAGGTCGGTTCTTTTCCAGGGGAAGATTATTTTTCATCATAGTCAACTGTATCTTCATCTCTGGACAGGGTATTGGTTTCCCTCCATTTGACAAAAGTCTGAAGGGGACAGAGACAGCCAGACAGTCAGCAATAGCTCTTCTCAGACAGTACAACTAAGGAGAAAGACATGGAAAGGGGCTCCAAATTAGAAGAACCTTCCACTTTGGGTCTGAAAAGCCCTGTACCAATAGGTGCTCATTTGGTAACATCTTTTGGATGCAACTGTGATAATCATAACTATATTTATTAAATTAAGTGTTTACTCTATGTCAGGCTCATGTGCTTTATACCACTGAATCCTTACAACACCCTGAGGACAGGTATTATTGTTCCCCTTTTGCAAATGAGAAAAATGAAGCCTAAAGAGGTTAAATAAATTACCAAAATTCACAAAACCAGTTAAGTTTCAATATAAAACGCAAAGGTCGTCTCACTCCAAACCACATGTACCATTCTGCCTCCCACTATTCATAATTCACCTATAAAAAGAAGAGAATAATAGTGCCTACCTCCTTATGGAGGTTTAAATGAGAGTACATGTAATGTGCTTAGCACAGGGCCTGGCAGATGGTAAGTGCTTGATAAATGGTGGTGATTATTATTGTCATCACTGACTATTAGTAAGTGTAAGAATTCAACAAACAAGTCGGGTGACATTTATCTCCCAGCCCTACTGAGAAAGAGCACATGCTTAGACCCTTCTCAGCCTCAATGAGAAGCAGGTGCTCTGGCTCTCCCACCAACCTACATGTAGGTACTTACTCCTCCAGTAGGTCCTGAGGTAACGTGTCCAGTGGGGTCCAGAAAGGTATAAAGTCTGGACCTAATTGCTCAGACAATGGTACTGGGGTAGGGGGAGGCACAAGAATTCTTGATGTTGCTTCTGGGGGCTGCTTTTCAGAGAGATTCAGAGATGAACCTTTTTTCTGGAAGATAAACAATGGGAAGAACTCTCTAAAGCACTCTCTTTGATCCCATTTCTTCCCATCAACTTTCTAGCCTCCCAGCACAACCCTAGCATGGAAAACTTGTTTCCAGGCTACTCCAGTCACTCTTGCCTCCTTTGAACTATGAGAGCAACCACATTTTTCCTTCTCAGGTTCCCAATCCTATTGTTATATTCAGATCACATAGGGATTAGTTGTTTTGTTGGGTTTTTCCAGAAAGGTCATTGATTTATTCACTCAACAAATGGAACAAATATTTATTGTATAACTGTGGCAGGCATAGGGCTAGGGATGGAAATTCAACAATGACCAAAATGGACCAACACACTACTCTCATGGACATGGCAATCTTACAGCTCTGTGACTTATCAGTGGTCATATTTACCCGTAAATGGTAGAATTCAAATTAGAAGCCCAGGTCTTATAACTCCTGGTCCACTGAAATTCTATCCCATTTACACTGGGGATTAGTTTTTAACTGACCAAAAATTCCCCCTAAATATCCAACAGTTCTATTATCTCAGAGTGCTCTTCATCTCCCTACAGGGAGGAGATAGGGAAATGAAGTATCTGAATAGAAAATGGTTTGGTAATTATTCCTAAAGAAGGGTTTTCGTTTGTGGATTTTGTCCATTTGGAGAAAGAATGGGAGTGGGGGAGACCTGAAAGGAAAACAAATGTAAACTCCACATAGTAATATCATAAAGGTTTAGATAAAACATCCAACTCACCGTTGCCAATTTCTTTATTTTCTTCTTCCCATGCTGGCTGGGAAAATAATGCTTCTCAGCTAGACTTGACATAAGAATAAATACAACTTATTCCCAGACATCTTAAATAGAAGCAATAATGATATTTGTGAATTATGATCACAAAGATTCCTCTCTCATCAGCACTCCAAGGCATCTGGTTGGGAGATCAGTAGTACCTGCTGCTCAGTTCTTACCACTAAAAAGATGCCCCATCCTCAGGCATAAATTAGGTTCTCAGTCAGGGTTCAGTGACTCAGGCCTGTAATCCCAGCACTTTGGGAGGCTGAGGCAAGAGGAACACTTGAGGTCAGGAGTTCAAGACCAGCCTGAGCAACATAGTGTACAACTCGTCTCTACAAAAAATTTAAAAATTAGCCAAGCATGGTGGTATACACCTATAGTGCCAGCTACTTGGGAGGCTAAGGTGGGAGAATTGCTGGAGCCCAGGAGTTTGAGGTTGCTGTGACCTATGATCATGCCACTGCACTTCCGCCAGACCAACAGAGCGAGACTCTGTTTTTTTGAAACAGAGTCTCGCTCTGTTGCCCAGGCTAGAGTGCCATGATATCAGCCTAGCTCACAGTAACCTCAAACTCCTGGGCTTAAGCAATCCTTCTGCCTCAGCCTCCTGAGTAGCTGGGACTACAGTCATGCGCCACCATGCCCGGCTAATTTTTCTATATATATTAGTTGTCCAATTAATTTCTTTCTATTTTTAGTAGAGATGGGGTTTCGCTGTTGCTCAAGCTACTCTAGAACTCCTGAGCTCAAACGATCTGTCCGCCTTGGCCTCCCAGAGTGCTAGGATTACAGGCATGAGCCACCGTGCCCGGGCTCAAAAAAAATATTTTTAATAAATAAAAATAAATTAGATCCTCATCATTCACTCAGAAAATCCAGTTATTTACTTTCATAGCATGAATCCAAATTAGACATTATATACTCAGGTGCGATTATGTTTGTGACATCTGACTCCCTTGCATAACATTCCAGGAGGACAGGGACCAAATCTATTTGCTTCTCCACGGATCCTCATTGCTTAGCACAAAGGAAAGGCTCAGGAAGTATTTTCTGTTATATCCTCTTCCTCCTTTTTACCTGGGACATGGATATGACACCTGGAGCTCTAGCAGCCAACTTAGACCTTAAAAGCACCCATGAAACACCTTAGAGGATGGCAGACATGGATGGACTAAGGATGATGGCTCAGAAAGCCAAAAGAAGCCCTCGTTACTGTTTATCTCATGGAACTGACATACTCGCCCTGGCTTGCCTTCTTCTGGGCTTCTTTTACATGACAGGAAATAACCCCTTAGGGTTTTTTGTTTGTTTATACTATATACATGTATGTGTACTCACACACACACACACAAAATGCATTAAAAAAGAAGCATTCACAGGATAACTTTTTACAAAGGAAACCAAAATAAAATAAAAAGAAATTCTTAAGTCTCGACATCTGTAAGCAGTCACTTAACAAGAATCTGAAAGCCTCAATGATCCAAAAAGAAAAACCAAACACTTTCCCCATGGTTGTTAACATTAGCAAGCCTTTGGGCCTTCACCAAATGATTTGTCACACTCTGCTTTGTACACAAGTCCTATATGCTATCCATTTTGTACCACCGTACTCAGATTTGGGTTGAGATCAAAGATTCATGTGCTTCACCTGAAAAATTTTTCACTATTTACTAACTGCTAATAAGAAAAACTAATAGAAAACATTTATTTCTTAATCAAACCTTATAAATAAGTTGGGTCCTATCTTGTATGCCATTTACTGTCATGTAGAATTCAATGTAGAGAAGTTCACGGCATGAATCTCAAAGTGCATTAAAATAAAATTCCAGATAGTAAGAAGCAGATGCAAGAGACCAGGACCTACTTCTCTGCTTGGCCTCCTGCTACTTGCAATGAGGTGGCTAAAAGGGAGATGACAAAAAGGAGGCCTACAGAGGACAGTAGAAGTTTGTAGAATATAAAGGTCAATGGCTCCCAAGTTCTAGAGATGATATTTACCTCAAATCCTTCTCTGATTCTTCTGGGATCCAGATTGCAACCATGTTTCGAGCATTTTTAGAACAGGGAAGCAGCGTCTCATTCAAATTCAACACCGAAAGCTAAGAGGAAGATATAAAACCAACATATGGCTTGAGGTGCCAGGGTCCTGTACCAGACTAAAGACTGAATTATCATGCTAACCAAAGAGTTTGGTGGCTCAGAAGATGATAAAAAGACATTTCCTATCCCCTAAAAAGTTTCATAATATTTTCCCAAAAAACTAGACTACATCATCAGATATCATTATAGGTATTCTGAAAGAGGGAACATTTGTAAGCAAATAATCTTCCATGCTTTCCTGTGACACTAGGGTGACATTTAGTACAAGCCCATCCCAAATGAGGGTGTGCTGGGGCTAACTAAGGAGAACACGACTCACCCTGCCTACAATACTCCAAAGACTTAGATCCCTGCAGATAATCGGCAGTTTGGGAGCAGGGAAAGAATTGGTAGAGAAAGAAGTAAATTCTCTACTTTTATAGCTTGTCTACAATTATAGGCATCTATATAAAAGTTCAGATACTAACTCTTCTCACATTTAGCAATTTAGGATCCTAGAACACTAATGCTCAAGAAAAGCCTGTAAATCACCTAGTCCATATTCCTGGTAGGATACAAAAAAACCAAAACTTAAAAATGAAGTTGCCGTATGAAAAGGAACTGATTGGTGGGGAACAGGAGAGACTCCTTTTCATTGTAAACTCTTTTATGCCTTTTGAATTTAGAATCATGTTCATGTATTAACTATTCAAATAATTTTAAAATAATTTAATCTAATCCTCTTGTTCTAAAGAGGTCAAAGAGGTACAGTGATTTATTCATTAATCACATTCAAACCTGCCTCTTAGTTCCTTACACTTTCCACCATGATACTGAAAGTGAAGACTCTCATGAAAAAAAAAAGATATCCAGCAGGACTGCAAAGAATAGTAAATCTGTCTTTACTGCAAGTAAGTACGAGGAATTTTCTTCCTAAAGTTCTAATTTCACTATATCCCTAACTAACTATGTGCTTTAACAAATCACTTCCTATCTGGGCCTCAGTTTCTTCAACTGTAAGATATATGAGATAGACCATAGTAATGTTCTTCAAACTGCAACTGCAACTTACTCATAGGTCATGAAACCAAATTTTGTGAATCACAACCCACATTGTTTAAAAATGAAATAGAATAAAACAGAATAGAGCAAGGTGCAGTGGCTCATGCCTGTAATCCTAGAATTTTGGGAGGCTGAGACAGGAGGATTGCTTGAGGCCAGGAGTTCAAGACCAGCCTGAAAAAGAGCAAGACCCCATCTCTACAAAAAATAGAAAAATTATACAGGTGTGATGGCACGTGCTTGCAGTCCCAGCTACTTGGGAAGCTGAGGCAGGAGCATTGCTTGAGCCCAGGAATTTGAGGTTGCAGTGAGCTATGATGATTCCACTGTACTCTACCCTGGGTGACAGAGTGAGACCCTGTCTTAAAAAAAAGAACAGGACACAAAATATCAAATATCAGAGTAAATGACCCATAGTTATGGTAAGGATTATTCCATGATATTTTTGTTGTAAAATCTATTTGTTACCATGGTTCACAGCTTTAGAAGTTTGAAAGTTATCAGACTAGATGATCTTAAGTACCATTTTAGGTCTGAAATTCCCATATTCTAATTTCCTGATTGAGATGACAATATTTACCTAGTAGCTAACATGCTCTATGCAGGAGACAGAAAAGTCTCACCTACACCAAACCTCTACAAATCAATCCCACTTGTGTCTGGAATTTCTGAAAACAACATAGCATGCAAAGCCATTAGCATAGAGCCTAGCATATAATAAGGGCCCATAGTAAATAATCAACATTATTATTCAGATTATAGTCATCCCAAGGAATGTTAAATAAAGGCAAAATATTTTATTTCCACTAGTACAGAGAAAATACTGAAGAAGTACCTTTTTAAATCTGTGACTTACTTTGGGAGATCTATCAGTACTGTTGATCAAACTTTTGTCAGGCAAACCTTTCTGAGGCCTAAAAAATGAGAGTTCCAAACATAAAACAGAGATACCATAGACTTATTTTATTGTGATGATAAAGTTAGTGCTATGAGGAAAACCCTTCTACTTATCTACAGAAAACCTTGGGCTTAATACTTACCAAAGGAATATAGGGTCTCACCATATCCTTAACTTTTATTTGTTTTTCCTGGAACAGCTCCTAAACAGGTATTACACACTGTGAATAATTCACAACTGTTTGTTGCATCAAAGTGAATTCATAGCCTACACCTCTCTCTCTAGCTAGAGATAATTATATCACCATCAATAAAGGTTTATTATGTACCTTTAATGAAGATGCTTAAAACATGTTAAATAAACAAAATGTAGTATACACATATAGAATATTATTCCGTTTTAAAAAGTAAGGAAATTCTGATACAGTAGTCCCTCTTTATCTGTGGTTTCAGTTACCAATGTTCAACCAGTCTGAAAATAGGTGAGTACCTATAAGATATTTTAAGAGATTTTGAGAGACCACATTCACATAACTTTCATAAAAGTATTTATAATTATTATTATTATTGTTTCTAATGTCTTATTGTGCCTAATTTATAAATTAAACTTTATCATAGGTATACATAGGGAAAAACATATTAGGTCATTAAGTATAAAATGTCCAATTTCCTTTTAAAGACTAAGTTTGACAGTTGATATCTCTGACATTTCATTTTGATACTTTTTGGGGTTTTTTCTTATTCTGAAGGTACATCCTCAGTCTTTCAAATGCACATTTTGGCTTGTGATTATTTTTCACATTTTTCAGAGCAATTTTTGTGAAACCATGGATAAGTTAAAAAAAATGTTATTTTTGAATATAAGTTCCATCATGGAACCAATGCAGTGCAGACAGCTTGAAATATCATCAAAGTGTTTTGGAAGGATGTGGATAATGAATGCACTGTACATTGATGGTTTGAGAAGTTCCATTCTGTTGATTTTAGTCTCAAAAATGAGCCATGTAGCCATCCACCTGAGACCAAGGTGGATAATGATGAGATGAAACCTGTAGTACAAGCGAATCCATCTCAACCTATGCATGAATTATCAGCAAGGTTTGACGTTACTATTCCAACAATATTGGACCATTTAAAACAAACTGTCAAGGTAAAGAAGTTGGACAGATGGGTACCACATGAATTAAATGAGTGTCAGAAATCGTCTCAGGCCTGGCCCAATGACTCACACCTGTAATCCTAGCACTCTGGGAGACTGAGGCAGAAGGATCACTTGAGGTCAGGAGTTTGAGACCAGCCTGAGCAAGAGTGAGACCCCATATCTACTATAGTAGAAAGAAGTAGCTGGACGACTAAAAATATATAGAAAAAAAAAATTAGCCGGGCATGGTGGCACATGCCTGCAGCCCCAGATTCTCAGGAGGCTGAAGCAGAACGATTGCTTGAGCCCAGGAGTTTGAGGTTGCTGTGAGCTAGGCGGATGCCATGGTACTCTAGCCTGGGCAACAGAATGAGACTCTGTCTCAACAACAACAACAAAAAGAAATCGTATCAAAGCTTGCCTTTCTTTGATGACACAACATAAAGGCGAACCATTTCTTCACCATATTGTTATGTGTGATGAAAATAGATTCTCTGTGACAATTGCAAGTATTCAGCATAATGGTTAAAGTGCCAAAACACAGTCCAAAACCAAATACTCATCAAAAAAGACAATGGTGTCTATTTGGTGGTCCAGCACTGGTGTTATCCACTACACCTTCATGAAACCTGGTTAATCAATTACAGTGGAAGTCTACTGAAACCAATTGGACAAAATAATGAGGATGCTTCTGATTAAGCTGCTGAGATTGGTCAATAGAGACAGGCTAATCCTCTTGCAAGACCACATGTTGCAAAAAACAATGCTGCTCAAACTATAGAGGCTAGACTTAGAAACTCTTTGTCTTCCACCATATTCATCAGACTGCACCGACTACCACTTCTTCCAGGCTTTGGACCACTTCTTACAAGGAAAAATATTCAAGTTTTAACAAGCTGTGGGAAACACCTTTCATGATTGCACCGCCACTTGCTCTCCAGGCTTCTTCACTGCTGGCATAAACAAGCTACCCTTAAGATGGCAAAACTGTGTTGATAATTAGGCACGTACTTTGATTAATTGTATTGCTTCTTGTTTACAATATAATAAACTTGTGATTCGAAATCGGACATTTCATATTTAATGACCCAAATAGCGTGTGTGTGTGTGTGTGTGTGTGTGTGTGTGTATAACCGTGTTTCCCTGAAAATAAGACAGGGTCTTATATTTATTTTTCCTCAAGAAGACACCCTAGGGCTTATTTTCAGGGGATGTGTTATTTTCCCCTCAAAGCCTCAGCTTGCAGCACGCACAGGATGGCCAGAACCTGACAGGGGGAGCCGACCTTGTTGGTGGGGCTGCTCACAGCTTTCCAGTCATGTCTAGGATAGTAGCTGTCACGATGGGGCAGATGAGAAGGGCTGCTAATCTTCTTTACCGCTCCACGATGAAAAGCATGGGTTGTGCAGATATGCTGCATTGCCATGCCCATCATTAGGTCTTATTTTTGGGGTAGGGCTTATATTGTGCAAATGCTTAGAAATCCTGCTAGGGCTTATTGTATGGGTAGGTCTTATTTTCAGGGAAACATGGTAGGGTTCACCCCATCCGTGGTTTCAGGCATCCACTCCACGGATCTTGGAATATATCCCCTGCAGATAAGGGGCGACTAATGTTCATGTTAAAACATAGCTGAACATTATATTATGTGTCATAAGCCAGACACAAAAGGACAAATATTGTTATGATTCCACCTTATGTAAGGTACCTAAAATAGGCAAATTCAGAGAGACAGAAAATAGAACAGAGATCAGGGGCTGGGAAGAGGAGGGAATGGGGAGTTATTGTTTAATGGATACAGTTTCTGTTTGAGACAATGAAAAAGTTCTAAAAATGGACTTTTTCCATTTCCAGATGTGGTGGATGCTACACATAGTAGTGATGGTTGTACATTGAATGGACTTAATGCCAATGAATAGTACACTTAAGAATGGCTAAAATAGGCCAGGCACGGTGGCTCACGCCTGTAATCCTAGCACTCTGAGAGGCCGAGGTGGGTGTTTTGCTCAAGGTCAGGAGTTCGAAACCAGCCTGAGCAAGAGCAAGACACCATCTCTACAATAAATAGAAACAAATTAATTGGCCAACTAATATATAGAGAAAAAATTAGCTGGGCATAGTGGCACATGCCTGTGGTCCCAGCTACTCGGGAGGCTGAGGCAGCAGGATTGCTTGAGCCCAGGAGTTTCCTCTAGCCTGGGCAACAAAACAAGACTCTGTCTCAAAAAAAAAAAAAAAAAAGAATGGCTAAAATAGTCCTTTTTTGTTATGTATATCTACCACAATAAAAAAAAAATCCCCTTATATTTGCATATCACTTGCTGTTTTTATAAAATGCTACATGTATAAATGATGAATAATGCAAAGAAGCATAAGATAAAGACCCAGCTCTCAGCCTGATCTGTGAAGTCCTGTCTGAAGTAGGCCCCTGCTTTCTCTCTCTCCTTCTTTATTTCAAAAATTTTAGGGGGTACAAGTGTTTTTCATTACATGGATGAACTGCAACATGCTGAAGTCAGGGCTTTCAGTGAACCCATCCCCACCTGCTTTCTATTTCTACTCCAGTGCCCCAGCCTCATCTCTGACCATTCTTCCATTCCTGCTCTATGTTCCAGATACAATGAAGTATTTTCCTGATACCTAAAAAATTTCCTCTTGCCTCCAGGACTTTGAATATGCTATTCCTGTAGTTAAGTCTTCCTGCCCACCTCCTACTTGCAACTCCTAGTTCACTAGACTGCTCAGACCTCAGGTGTAGGCACGAATGCCACTTACACAAAAGCTAGTACGCTGTATAAGGAAACTTTTCCAGCGCTTCCACACACCCAGGGGGCGTTTCCTCTCACAATACTCATCACACCAGATGGTTCCTGCTTGCTTATTTCTTTTCTTCCCCAAATAGGCTGAAAGCCCTTTGAGAGTAAAGACTATATGTCAAACACAGTGGCCACCACTAAAATATTAATAATATTTGTGAATTGAATGTCTAAATGAATGATGTGATGGCCCTGCCTTCAAAGGGCCTAAAATCTAGTTGGGCAGACAGGACATAGGCATAAAAATATCAGTAAGCATGCTAGAGACAATAAGTGGTGGGCTAGTTTGAAAGAGAGAGTACCCAGGGCTAGTGGTAAATGAGGAAACTCAACAGAGAATGAGGACATATTCACTTATTCAACAAACACTTATTGAGCTTTCACTATATGCCATGCACTATTGAAGGGACAGAAAATAGAACAGTGAAGAAAACACACAGTCCCTGCTCTGGTAGAAGTGATATTCTAATGAGGGGAGGGAAACAAATCAACAAAAATCACTTCAGATCAGAAGAAATGAGGAAACAAGATGCAAGGTCAAACGATGGTGAGAGCAGGCCAGGTGCAGTGGCTCACACCTGTAATCCTAGCATCCTGGGAAGCCTAGGTAGGAGGATCCCTTGAGGTCAGGAGTTCAAGACCAGCCTGAGCAAGAGCAAGTCTCTACAAAAAATAGAAAAATTAGCCAGGCATGGTGGTGCATGCCTGTAGTCCCAGCTACTTTGGAGGCTGAGGCAGGAGGTTTTCTTGAGCCCAGGAGTATGGGGTTGCAGTGAACTATGATGACAGTACTGTACTCTACCTGGGGCAACAGAGCAAGACTGTCAAAAGAGAGCAGAGGAGAGGAGAGGAGAGGAGAGGAGAGGAGAGGACGAGGAGAGGAGGAGAGGAGAGGGAGGGGAGGGGGGGAGGCGAGGGAGGGGAGGAGAGGAGAGGAAAACGGGGAAAGAAAAGAAAAAAAAAGAAAAGAAAAGAAAAGAAAGAAGAAAGATGGCATGTGTGGACACAGTTTTCTGATGACCTATAGAAGCTGGTAAGATAGGCTGAATTGTGTTACCCTAAAATTCATCTGTTGAACTGGTTAACCCAGTTCAATCAAGGTAAAATGAGGTCATGTTGGTGAGCCCTAACCCAATATGACTGGTATACTTATAAAAAGAGCAAATTAGGACACAAACACAGAAGGAAGACCACGTTAAGACAAAGGGAGAAAATGGCCATCTATAAGGAGAGAGGCCTCAGAAGAAAACAACCCTGCTGACACTTTGATCTTGACTTCTAGCCTCTAGAACTGTGAGAAAATAAATGTTGTTGCTTAAGCCACCCAGTCTATGGTACTTGGTTATGGCAGCCCTAGCAAACCAAAACACCCCAGCACCACCACCAAATTAACAAACTCCTAGACCAGAGCAGGGATGCTTTATTTTTGTTTTCCATGGCCTAGTCCCTTCTTTAACTGAATTCATGTTTTCTTTTTAATCCAGCTTTCTCAAAGTCTACTACATGAGTAAGGGAAATCATAACCCAGACTTCTGAAGCAATAGACTGTTAAAAGGAGATTCAATGATAATTTACCTGCCTTGAAATTTGGAGTTAAACTTTGAACCACGAGACAATAAAGAATGAGCTTTAGTGAAGGTAAATGCTGATAAATGACGAGGTAAGGAGCAGGAATCTGGCATGTTTACAATGGTGAGCTCTGGGAGTTTATCTGAGAAAGCAGACCAGAAGAAAACATGTTATATGTTGCCTGAAGATAGGGAGCCAAACAGAACTAAAGACCTTGTGAGGAAGAGAACAGAGGGTGCTTAATTCACCTTCATCATCCAGGGGAATTTTGCAGGGTGAGCCCAGGATTCGAGGATGGCCCCTCTCAATCCGGCGGATACTTGCCCAGCATTGTGGATGCTGGCAAATAGCCATCTTACAGGTGGTTTCGTCCCACTTGCTTTCATCTGGTAAGTCCATAGCTATAAATGGTTTAGGACAGAAGCCAACCCTGAAGCTTTCTAGCCCTCTGGAGAATCAACAATCACATAATTAGGGAGTATTATAATTAGCCATGCGATCCAGATCTCAATTTGGACTCAAAGCTTAAAATATTTCTACTGAACCTATATAGTAAAGGTGACCACAGGATAACTAAGGATTGGGTAACAAGTAACTATGAAAACAACTCAGCATGAGGTAGAGTGGCAAGAGCCTGGGAGAGATTGACTTCAGGTCTCCAAATAGTCCATTTAATAGCTGAGTGACCTGGAACTTAACCAATCTAAGCCTCTTTGTTTCCTTATCTCTAAAATGAGGATATGTCTATTTCACAAAGTCATTACAAAAATTAGTTAATGGATATTAAAAGCCTGGCATATACTTTAAAATAAATATTAGCATCCTTGGCCGGGCACCATGGCTCACGCCTGTAATCCTAGCACTCTGGAAGGCCGAGGCGGGTAGATCGCTCAAGGTCAGGAGTTCAAAACCAGCCTGAGCAAGAGTGAGACCCTGTCTCTACTCAAAATAGAAAGAAATTAATTGGCCAACTAAAAATATATAGAAAAAATTAGCCGGGCATGGTGGCACATGCCTGTAGTCCCAGCTACTCGGGAGGCTGAGCCAGAAGGATTGCTTGAGCCCAGGAGTTTGAGGTTGCTGTGAGCTAGGCGAATGCCACAGCACTCTAGCCTAGGCAACAGAACGAGACTCTGTCTCCAAAAAAAAAAAAAAAAAAAATTAGCATCCTTTCCTTTTCTCCTTCAGTAATCATTAGGGAGAAAACGCCACCATCTCCAAAAGGTCTTATCACATTACAACCAATGCGGTCACAGAAATACCTACATTATTTGAAGGCTTAAACTTTTGGAAGATAAGTTTCATTTTTCAATGTGCTTCAATTCCCATGCAAGCAGATAAAATACCCACCAGCAATGAATGGGTTTGCTCAAACAGCAAATCAGTAGACTTCCAGTTTGCATTGTAGGCCATTCGCTTTTCATTTACTGGCTCCCTTGGTCTGTTTCCTCATATAAAGTAGGGGGAAGGAAATGCCTAAGTAGGATTGCAGAAGCATTCAGTTAGATAATGCACTTTTATGTATGATAGGTGCTCAACAAATACTATCACCTTTTCCTCTCTAGAGATATTTTAGGCCATCCCTATCACCTTATCCCTAATAACTTTTTAAGGACCGTGTCCATTTCTTCTTTTATTCAACAAATTTATTGACTACCAAATACACGATGGGACCCATTTTGGACATAGAGAACAGTAACGAACAAACTTCCTGTTCTACACTGCTTGTAATCTAGATCAAAGATAGCAAACTATTGGCCTAAGACTGCACCTGGCCTATGACTTGTTTTGTTTGGCTAGCACTTTGAACCAATACCTCAAACTTTAAATAGTTCATAGTATTCATATTTCTGGCTTTTAGAGATCAAAATAACTGACAACACTGAGCCCAATTACAGCTAGACAGCAATTGGCTGGAGCTGAGTTGCTCCTAACGTGTTTACAGCAGGTCTGCTCTATTCAAGTGGAGTTCCTCCACCAGACCTTACAGTCTCTAACTTAACAGTTTCAGATGCCGTTTATCATAGCATTTGCTCCATTGTTTCCTCCTAAAAGGGAAATATTTCTCTGTAATCATGTCTCCATTGAAAGCTGGAAAACGAAAAGGCGACTTGAGACAGCATGTTTCAAGGGGAAAAAAAGCATCAGTTCTCAGTGGGAGTGAAAATTTCTAAGTACTCAGTATGAAAATAATACAACTTCCAACACCATTGCAAAATTCCGAGAAGGACTTTGACTGCAAAAGATCTAGAATGAACAATTTAACGAACTAAAAAATAAATACAATTTTAACAGGGTTTGTTTTTGAATGCAAATTCACATTAGTCTTAGAACTGGCTGCTTCTCGCCCTTTCTTCACCTGCCCAGACCGAACTGAGCCCCGAAGTCTAATCAGGTGCATATATGTATCGCCAAAATTAGCGTTGCGCCAGCAAAATACTCCGCATTATAAAACAAAAACAAAAAAAAACTAGATAACACTTATCCTTAATACCCTTATTACAAAGTTGTGAGGAGCGAAAAGATTAAAAATGGACATATGCTTCGGCAGAGCTGGAAGAAGATTCCCCGCTTCATTCCGGAAAATGGAAAAATAAAAAAACGTCGGGGTAGACTCGGCCTCCCAGCCACCGCTAACCAAAGCACATTAAAAACCACTAGGGTTTCGAAGCCGAGGCGTTAAGGAGGCTAGAGGTGGTGGGCCCCGCCCATCGGGCCCCGCCTCTTGTCCCCGCCCAGCAGGTTCTGTCCACGCCTTCGTCTCCCACGATAGCCGCCTTGTCGCGTCGTCGCCAAGCAGCGGCGCAGGGCACTATGGGAAACGGACGGAAGCCCCAGTGAGCCAAATTAATTGGTGAGAAAGTCCCAGAAGTGGCGATGACGTGAAACAGAAAACGGACCTGGGGAAGGACGTGCAGGGTACGGTGGGGCTGGACAGACCCGGCCGGGCGCAAATCCCTGCAGCGTGGGAAGTTCGGATGCACCTACGATTTGAGGTGGAGGCAGGGCTGGGGAGGCGGAAGGCTATGGCGCGCGGGGCACTATGGAAGGCAACGTCAGGAACGTACGGCGGGACGGAAGCCTCTGAGGGTCAGACGGTAGCGACGCGGGAAGTCTGGACGCAGTAGCTGCCTGAAGAGGAGGCCTGAAGCTGAGGCTCGGTCCGGGCGGCGGCAATGGCGGAAAGGCCGGAGGATCTAAACTTGCCCAACGCCGTCATCACCAGGATCATCAAGGAGGCGGTGAGCAGCTCGGGCTGAAGGACTAGCTGTGGGGGCGGACGAGCGGGCAGGAGGGAAATAGGTCCTGCGCCGGCAGCTTTGCTCACACCGGCTCTCCTCACAGCTCCCGGACGGCGTCAACATCTCCAAGGAGGCCCGGAGCGCCATCTCCCGCGCCGCCAGCGTCTTCGTGCTGTACGCCACGTCCTGGTGAGCGGGGCAGACATAAGCGAGGCGCAGAGAGAACTCTTGGCTTGGAGTTCGTCGCCTGGAGCCCACAAACCCCAATCATTGTGCCCTACCTCAGTGTTGAGAGGTTCACAGTCCTCTGCTAGTTGTTAGACGCCCTGAAGCAAAATAAAACAACAAAATAACTTTGTTTTACCCCTTTCGTACAGAGAAGGGCGGGAGGGACTTACACTGCCAGACAAAACTCCATGCATCTAGGGAGTAGGCTTTCCCATCCCACCTCTGGTGCCCTTTTCCCCACTCCCTACGCGGCAAGAGGGAGTCTGACAGCCTCTCATGGCCCTTTCTCTTTCAGTGCCAACAATTTTGCGATGAAAGGGAAGCGCAAGACACTGAATGCCAGTGATGTGCTCTCAGCCATGGAAGAGATGGAGTTCCAGCGGTTTGTTACCCCGTTAAAAGAAGCTCTGGAAGGTAATGACCCTCCCATGTTCTCAACCATGCAGAAGATGGTCATCCGATGTGACCTGTTCACTTGGCCCCGAGGCTTTCTCAGCGTGGGCCCCTTTAAGTCCAGTAAGCTAGTACTGGATGTGACTCAACCCAGACCAGTCGACACCACCTTAGATCTGTTTTACGATGCTAGGCAGGTTATTTTGCCTTCTGTGTCTTGGTTTTTCCAACTGTCGATGGGGTTAGCTTAGCTGCTGAAGTCCATCTAGTTTACTCGTCCAGCCCTCCCTCCTAACCCCTTTCTTCTCCTTGCAGCATATAGGCGGGAGCAGAAGGGCAAGAAGGAAGCTTCAGAGCAAAAGAAGAAGGACAAAGACAAAAAAACAGATTCGGAAGAGCAAGACAAGAGCAGGGATGAGGACAATGATGAAGACGAGGAAAGGCTAGAAGAAGAAGAACAGAATGAAGAAGAGGAAGTGGACAACTGAATAGGGTGGGATACTGGCACCTTGGAAGGTACCACTCTGAGACTTGCTACATGTCTCTGTGAAGCTTTTCCCTGCTGGGCAGAGTAGTCTTAGGCAGAAGTGCCTGAGAAGATCAAAATAAAACCTGACTAGAATTATCGCCAAAACCAGCACTTCCCAAACTCAAAGCATCTGAGTAGTGGAATCCTGTTTTGTTCAATCAGTCTGAAGGTTATGACTTTCTGGCAAGAGGGATTCTGAATGGCTAATTAGTTTGATCACTCTTGTTTACTTATATGTATGGTTAGGTTGGTTTTGATCTCCAGTTCCCCTGCTCCCCTCCAAAAGTAATAATAACTTCCGTGCTGCCTGCTGTGTTCCAGATCACAGAGGCAGTCAAGGCTCAGGAAAATTGGGGCTTTGATCATGGTCAGCCTATATTTGGTTGTACAGTGCTTGGCAATAGTAGCTTATTAAGAGTGTTCAAAACAATAAAACTTAGAGAAACTGCTAAAAAGCTGTGGGAAAATAATGAAATCTGTTGTCTCTTCACTTGACAGTAGCATTAATTGAATTTTGTTTTCTATAGACCCACTTGGTTTGGAGCCCTTTTGTGTTGCATGTAGACATTTGACCTGCTAGAGTGGCTGCACTCTGGGTACACAGGCCCTTAAATCAGCAGTGTAGGTTGGAATTAGTCAAGCAAAGGTGCTAATGTCTTTCTTTTACAAAACAGATGGTTTAGGCTTAGGTATCTCATTGCCTGCCTAACATGCAGCTTTAGGATTTATCGACACCTCCTGGGAGGTGTAAAATCCAGGCTTTCTCTTCTTTTTTTTTTTTTCTTTTTTCTTTTTTTTGTTTCTTTTTTGGGCTTTCTCTTCTTATAGTCCCGTCTCAGACTTGTGACTATGGTTTTTCATTCTTCAATTCATGATGAGTTCCAAACTTTATTTCCTCAATGCACAACTTTCTCCCTCTGTGCTTCTTGCTTACTGTCTTTCTTCTGCCTCTCCCCTGCTCCCCATCCTCACTTTTCTTCTCTCTTTCCTTTTCTCTTATCTACTGTCAGTCTAGGAACTTTGTTTACTTGCTTAATATTTCAGAGTGCAAGTTCCTCTGATTCCTTAGTTCTAATCTCATGTCTTTTCAAAATGGTTTTATGAAACCCCTCTAAACCTTAAGGGAAATCTGATGGTGCTCAGGAATCTAATTCCCCCCAAACCATCCCCTTTAACTGCTTCTAAAGTATCTCTGTTGGCCTTTCTTAGCCTTTTTCTTTACATTCAGTACTCCAAGCACTTTTTTGTTTGTCTCTAAGTTGAGCGCTTGGAGTTTGACAGGTAGTGAAGTGTAGTTTGACACTGTTAACTTGTTAAATGAATACAGTGAAAAGTTTGTTGATAGATGAGTGAAGAATGTTGAGAAGATTATAATGCTTTGTACCAATAAAGAACATTCTTGTTAAAAGTGATGCCTCCTGTTTCATCCTGCTTGTTTGTAGTGTGCTTTTGGAGAGAAACCCTGATCACGCTCCATACAGTTTTGTGGTGTCAACTGAACCAGACCTTTGTAAATGTGGGCTCCTGCAACACCTTGGATGACCAGCAGATGCTGCTCATATACAGGCAAGGGTTCTAGACCACAGCAAGAGCTTTTGATGACTCTGCTGGGTACCCTGTGTACACTAGACTCTCAGCAGCCCCGTTTATTGAATCCCTACTGTATCTGACACTGTTCTAAATGCTTTCAAGTATTAACTATGAAATCCTATGAAGTAGCACTACCATTACCTCTATTATCTCTTAACCACAATGCAATATTACTTCTAACCTACATGGCTTTTCAAGTCATAAATCAAATTTATAAATAACATTTCAGAAAGATACAACCCCAATAGTCATTAGATCTAGTGACATTTTCCTTCTCCAAATTCCCATAAGCACCACTCTAGGCTAAGCCCTCAAGTCCTATGTAGACTCCTGTAGCTTCCTTTGAGCTCAGTTCCCTGCCTCACTTCTGCTTTCCCTAGTACTTTAGCATACTGCTTTCCAAGTGGATCTTCTTGGAACTTTGCTATGTCCCGCCCTGCTTCCTATTAAATTACCTCCATACTTTATTATTTAAAGCCTGCATAAGGAGCACTCACCCTACCATCTATTTTAATCTGCCACTCTCTAACATAAGGCTATATGCTATAGTCAAGAATGTATCCAGGCTGGTTCAGTAGTGGGTTATCAGAACTCAATAACAATGTCACTAAAGTTGGTATACAGCCAACTTTGGTATACAGCCCCTCATTGCTAAATTTGACTGGCTTAAAAAAATGTGTGTGTGTGTGTATATATATATATATGAATAAATAACCAAAAGAACTCTTTTCACATGGCTTTAGTTCATCCTGTCCCATTCCTCACCAACATTTGACTAAGAGAAACATTTCCTAAGAATAGGGACTGTAACTTAAAATCACAGAATTTAACAATTGGGAAGAATCTTTGAGGTCATCTACCAGTTTTTCCCAACCATAGTAAAAGAGGTAGTTACTGTAGTGCTATCTAGATTTTGAAGGTTCCTTACTAGACTAAGGTAATATATATTATTTTTTAACCATGGAACTTCATGCCCAGAGATTCTGATCTGGATTTAGGAAATGGGAGGGTTCTAGTCCAAACCCATTCAAAACTACTTTTACTTTTAACGCCCTATTTTTACCATTGGGGAACTGAGGCTTTTCAAACAGAAGTGGCTTGCTCAAGATCTTAATACTAATTTGGAAAACCGGGAGCCTGTTCCAGTGGCCATCAACTTTACTCCTATTTTATTTTTTTAGTAAACTTTTGGTGCATTTGTCAAAACTAAGAAACTTTTTTTTTTTTTTTTGAGACAGGGTCTCATTCTGTTGCCCAGCCTGGAGTACAGTGGCACAATCATAACTTACTGCAGCTTGGAACTCCTGGGCTCAAGTAATCCTTCTGACTCAGCTTCCCAAACTAAGACTACAGGCATGAGCCACTGTGCCATTTAAGAAAAAAAAATTTTTTTGAGAGAGGGTCTCACTCTATCCCCGGGGCTAGAATACAATGGCATCATCATAGCTCACTGCAACTTCAAACTACTGGGCTCAAGCAATCCTGCTGCCTCCATCTCCCAAGTAGCTGGAATTACAGGTGCATGCCACCATACCCAGCTAATTTTTCTATTTTTTGTAGAGATAGGGTCCCACTCAGGCTGGTCTTGTACTCCTAGCCTTAAGCAATCCTCCTGCCTTGGCCTCCCAAAGTGCTAAGATTATAGGCTTGAGCTGTAGCACCTGAGCAAGAAAAACTTAATTAAATGCCAGACTGTATTTCTCCAGTTTTTCTACTAATGTCCTTTTTTGTTATAGTATCCAATCTAGAATACCACGCTGCAGTTAGTGAACTCTTTTAACTGAAATTCACAGAATATAAAACCATTTTAAATAAGCAATTCAATAACATTTAGTATAGTCCAATGTTGTGCAACCATTCTCTATCTAGTTTCAAAACATTTTCATCACCCTGTACCCATTAAACAGTTACTCCCATCTTTCCTCCCCCAGGCCCTAGCAATTATTGATCAGCTTTCTGTCTTGTTTGTTTTTATGCTCTTCATGGCATTTAGCACAATGCCATGTACCTACTCAGAATAGTTTTAATTCTTTACAAAAGTATAATATACATACCAAAAGGTGCAAATAAGTATAGAACTTGATGCATTTTCACAAACTAAACACGTCCATGTAACCCACACCCAGCTCATTAAACATTATCAGCACCCCAAGAAGTCCCTTTGGTCATTGTACATTACTTCCTTTCCACCTCCTTCCTTTTTGAACACAGATCAGAACGCTAGTAGCTGGGAACTAACTAGTGTAATATTTTCCTAGCTTTAAGCCACTAGGCCTCTTAAAATATAAAAAAGTATACAACAGGTTTAAGGTACAGATTTTGAGAAATGAAATCCAAGAATAAATGTAATGCAACCCACTGGCATCTTCATGTAAAATTTTCAATAATCCCTGAAGAAACTTTTCAAAGACATTCCTTTGCTAGGGTGATGATCCCCCCCAAGCCCACTTCACCCATGCAATCCTACCAGTTCACCCAGGCCCCGTGAGCCTCACCAACCAGATCCCTCCTGCCTGTGAACATACTCTGCTCCAATCCCCCAACCCCCAGACCTTTTGGTCAGCTTGCTCACTGTACTCATCCAGATACAGGTCTGATGCCCCTAGCAGACTGGGAGTTTGTCTAAATGCCCATGTCTTTGACATCACATTTCCCACAGAGAAGGCCCTGAGTAATTGCACTGGAAAAAATTTTCTCTGAAAACTTGAAAGTCTGGTGCTAAACTCAACAACTTTAAAACGCTCAGTCGGCAAAAATGGACTTAGCTATTGTATTAGGCATTACGGTGTTGCTTTAATGTCCTCAACATCCAATTATTCTTTCACCAAACCACCCACCGCCGCCAAGTTTGCCTTAGGCTGGGAAGAGGAGGACTGTGAAGTGAACCCAAGGCTGTGACAGCCTCAGGGGTGGGCTCCCGCGCCCCCACGTGGGCTCCCTACGGCCTTCCCCGGCCCCAAGAGAGGCGGGCCCTCCAGCCGCTCCGCACACCCGACTGGCCCGGCCTGGAGCCCGACGTATGTGGGCGGGGCCGGGGCCGGAGCGGACCAGCCCCCTCGGAGAGTGCCCGTGGGGCGTGGCCTATACTGGAGTGGGCGGGGCGCGGGAGGAGCTGCTTCCGGGTGAGCCTCCTAGCCCTCACGTGGGCCCCGGGAGACTAGAGCGGGAGACTGCGGTGGCGGGAGCGGCTCGGAGTCCGTAGGGAGGCAGGTGAGCGTGCACCGGACGCGGGCAGATGGCAGGCTTGAGGACGGCTCCAGGGCGAGGCGGGGGCGATGGCACCGAGAGTCCCACGGCCCCAGATTGTGCTGTGCGCCTGTAGCGCTGGCGGTGCTGCGTAACGCAGTCCTTGTGGAGCCCCTGTTTGGGCTAGTCTTGCTTCAGTCCGAGTCCTCCCGGGTACGGACTCCGAGCCTCCTTTATGGGGTTCACACCCTCGGAGACCGCCGGGGCAGTCTCCATCAGTGCAGAGCCCGAGGTGCCCGGGGGAAGGAGGTGGAAACAATAACAGTCGCTTTGTGCTAGGCATTGCATGCATGGGCTCATTCAGTTCCTACAACAGCCCATTGAGGTCAGTTCAAGTCCCCATTTACCAGATGAAGAAACTAAGGTCACACGACTAGGAGTGACAGAACCCGGATTTGTATCCACGTCTTTCAGACTCCAAAGCCCACACACTTAACCATCCTGCTACCAACAGCAGCCAGGTCCAGAGTCACAGGTCTAACCTCTTCCCTCACCCACCCTCTTCACCTAAAGCTCTCCACAAGCCCAACGCTGCTGGTAAGCAGATTTGAAATCTGCCGTTAAAGTATCAAGGGGTCATGGTGGGCATTGAGGACTGGGCTGCTGGAAACCGAGATGCTAACCCCCAGATCTGCCACTGACCTGCTAAGTGATCCCAGGCCAGTGTCTGCCCTTTTTGAGCCCTGTTTCAGTGATATAATCAGCAAGCTTTAAGAAGCCTCTTAGCCAAGATATTCTAGGAGTCCGGAAATGGCAGTTTGTCCTTTTAACTCCAAATGGCTACACCAAAAGGAGAATTAGGCTCTTCAAAGCGGTAGGACAGGCTGGGGTCTCATTCTTCTCTTTAATCCCTGCATCTGGCACTACAGCAGGCCCAGAGCAGATAATCAGGAAATGCAGGTTGACTGAACACTTGGTCCCTTTTCAGAACTGCTTGACAGCTACCATCTAAGCCCTTGTGGGGCTTTGGATTTCTCAGTCCTGGCCACTTTCTACCTCGCTGGCTCTCCAGACTGCCTCCTCCCCAGCCAGTGACAGAGCCTGCCAGACCTGGCAGAAGCTCCCAGCGCTCTTTGCCAAGACCACAGCCTCTGGAATCCTCAGTGTAGCACAACATGGGGGGACTTGTGCCCTGCAGCTTTGTCTCCATCCCTCCTGGTGGCAGCTCTCAGGTGCCAACTTATGTGATTCCCAGGTTGGGGATGTTGCCTTCCAAAGGAGATACTTTCACAGTTAATCTAAACTGTCCCCTCTTCCATGAAGCCATCATTGACTCCCAGAGATACAGGTCGCTGTCACAGCACCTGGTGCACCCCTCTACTCTGTGTGGTGATTATTTTATTTCTCCTTCACTGCATAAGCTGCTAGAAGGCAGGGACCTCACCTCAGAAATCTTGGGAGACCCCATGGCCCACAAGAGTTTGTGTACACATGCTTCCTTTGGGTGTGGTGCAGAAGGCACAGTGTGGTGCCAGGAGATCTCATTCCAGCTCAGCCCTATTCCTAATAATAATAAAATTAGCTACATGTTTACTGTATGGCTAGTTGGTGCCAGACACGTACCTCATCACTATCTGTGACCTCTGCAGCCTTGCAAGTTTCATAATATGCCCAGTTTATAGATTACAAAAAGGCCAGTGACCTTGCCCAGAGTTACACAGCAGAGCACAGACCAGATCTGGGACTGTTTGACCCATGCAAAAAGAAATCTCGATCCCTTTTGTACCACTCAATAATGCCTTCTAGCAAAGCTAATCTGCCCTGTCAACAGGGGAAAAAAAGCCAAACTCTGTAAAATAATTTTAAAGAGATTATTCTGAGCCAAATTTGAGGACCATGACCCAGAGCCACTCCCAAGAGGCCTTGAGCAAGTGGACTCGCTGTGGCTGGGCTACAGTTTAGTTTTACACATTTCAGGGAGACAGGGGTTACAGGTAAAGTCATAAATCAATAGATGGGAGGCATACATTGACTTGGCCCAAAAAGGTAGGACATCTCAAAGGGGTGGGGGGGCTTACAGGTTATAGGTGGGTTTAAAGATTCTTTGGCTTGTAATTGGTTAAAGTTTTGTCTAAAGGCTTGGAAAGTTTTAACACAAGGAGCTGTTTACCAGAGACAAGCCACCAGACATAGATTTGTTGTATAAATTGAGGACCTGCAGGTTTGTCTTGCATACCCTTAGGCCTGTTAATGGGTTACAAAGGATGTATCCAAGAAGGGAGAGGGGCATGATGAGGCATTTCTGACCTCCCTCCTCCTGGCAGACAGTTTTAGGATATTCCTTTGGCCATGAGGGGGTCTATTCAGTCAGCCCTTGGAGGAGGGGGTGAGCCTTAAAATTTTATTTTAGTTCACAGCCCTCACATGGGTTGACCTGGCAGCTTATTTCTGTCTTCAGTTTGGTGTCACAGGATTTAAGCTGTGGTTTGTAAGCTCCCTTGATTTGAGAGAAGGGCCTGCTATATGACAGTCCCCCAAACTTCGAGGGACTTTTTGCAAAACAAAACCCCAGCATGGATTTGGCTCTGCCAAACAGATACGCAACTCAGGGGCTGTTTTCCCACCCCACAGATACTTATTAAGCACCTGTTGTAGTGGAATGACTCTGTGTGGTGTAGGTAGCAGAGCACTGGGCTAAAAGCCAGGAGCTGCAGAATCAGTTTCTAGGTCTGCACTGCCTTCCCTGTGATCTCAGACAAGTCCTGCTGCCTCTGTACACTCATTTTCCACATTAACATGTAAGGGACTAAACAGGATCAGTGATTTTCAACGTTTTAATTTTTTAGCACTGACACCCATTTCTCAAATATCTCTCTGAACTCTAATATTCAAAAATAGATCAAAGTGGAACTGCTCCCCCACTTCTCTTTCGCTTCCTGCCTCTCCCAGACTCCTGGGGTGAAATTTGTCCAGCCAGGCCCCTAGGGCAGCCCTGCTGCTTTGCCTCTGATAAGCAGAAGGCAGTTGTTCCCTGGCCTCAGTGGAATGCAGTTTTGGATTCTAGAAGCCAGAGACCTGCTACAGAGGTAGTTCTCTGAAAGTAAATCAGAGATATGTAGACCCGGTTTCAAAATCTGGCTTGACTCCAGAATGACACTGAGCAAAGTCACTTAACCTCTCAGAGCCTTCATTTCCTTATCACTACAAGTTAAGACAGTTCTTGCAATTAAATGAGATAATATAAAGTACTTAGTCTGGTGCCCAGCATGTAACTAATACACTCAGTATGTTTTTCTGTTGTTTCTTCCATCACTCCAGCGACCAAAGCAGAGACAGTATGGGCTGAGAGACTCCCACTGAATCAAGTGTTTATCATTATTATGGGTTTATCATTATATGATCATTTGATATGTATGGCATGTCAAACCCTGCATTGGGAGTCTAGAACAAATTCAAATTCTGGCTCAGTCACTGGCTGTGCAGTCTTGGGCAGCTGACTTAACCTCTCTGAGCTGGGTTAACTCCTGGCAGACATGAGAGCAAAATCTTAAACAAAATGGGCCGTCAGGGCCTCAGATCTGCTGAATGATTGCTCATTTGGGGGTTGAGACATCTTTGGGGAGGCCTGGCCTGCCCCTGTGTTAAGAGATGAGGCTGGGCCACCCAGGGTGTGGTGGTAGGGCAGGTCCCTATGTGGGTCCTGATAACTCCAACCCTGCCAAGGAGGAAGACCAGATAAAATGGGTCCCTGAGCTGGTTGGGGGTGTGGGCCAAAGGGGCCTAAGAGACCGGAGAAAGGCAGCACCAGCATGTCAGAGGATCTGCCACCTGGAAGCTGACACAGCAGGGTTCTTGTCCTGCTGTTTTACCTTCTTACTCGCTGTGTGGCCTTGGGTAAGTCCCTGCCCCTCTCTGGACTGTGAGGTCCCATTCATACAAGGAGCAGTTGCACTAGGGCCTGCCAGCCCCCATTTTCTGTGTCTCTTTTTTTCCTGCTTGGCTATGGGGTGTTCCCCCAGGCACCTCCAAAAGAAAGTGTCTAAGACAGAGCTCTCCCTTTGCTCTCCAAGCCTGGCTCCCCGCCACCCTCTTCCTGCCTTGTCCCCATCTCTGCTGCCCTCTGGGTCAGGCAGGCTCATCTGCCCTAAGAGACTGCTTCTTGGCCGCCTTAAGATGGCCCTTCCTTCTCCGCCCCCTGACCCCCTCGCTCTGCTTGCTGTCTGTTCCGCTCAGCCTGCAAAATTGATCCTCCTAAAGCCAGGTTTCTACCAGCCCACTCCCCTACCCCCTGTTCAGAAATCTTCCCTTGGCCTCTGTCTGGCCCTCTTTCCTCCCTTCCCCTCTGTACCCCTGTGCCTTGATTGCCTCCTCCTCAGGTCCTCAGAACAGTCCTAGCCATCCTCCTTCCTCGCCTTTGTCCCTTTCTTCTCTTCCTGAGGGATCATTGTCCTCCTTCCCTCTGCCAGGCTGAACCCACACATCCTGCAAAACCAAGCTCCAGCCCCTGTCTTCCAGCAAACCTATTCTGACCTCCTGACTCACATTAGAACCATGGTGCCTTTCTGGTCAGGCTCTTCCTCTCCAAAATACACTCAGTCTGCCCTGCTTCCCACAACTGTCGTGGAACTCCATAGAATTCACCTGTGAAGGTGTCCAGTATGGCCTGGCACCCAGTAGGTGCTCAAGAAACAAATGTTAACGAATGTCCCAGCTTCCTTCTCTCTTGTATTGCGTATTTGGCATTCAGGGCATACTGTCCTGTACTTCATGTAGTTAAATATTTCTCATGTGCCAGAGTCAGTGTGTGGCAGAGTGCTATGGGGAGGCAAAAATGAACTGGCTCTGGACCCTGCCCTGCAGAAGCTCTGGCTACTGGCGCCAGAGGAGACAGGCCCACAAACAACTTACATAAGAGAGATTGCAGTCTGGGCAAGAAGAAAGCCTCAGTGGGAGAGGGGAGGAGAACTCTAGATTTGGGTAGGAGGAGGTTGCAGAGAGAGCATAAGCCCTCCAGGTAAAGGGAGCAAGGTGAACAAAGCAAGAAAGTGTAGCTTGTGCTTGTGGAGCTGCATTCCTGCAGCTCTTCCTTGGGCTGGAAAAGACAGCTTCAGTGGCCACTCTATAGAGTGTGTGTCTGTCTGTCTGACATACATAGTACTATTTTGCCCTCTTAGTATGTGTTATGCCTAACAAGAAGTCCATGTACCAAAGCATTCATAGGGCTTTGGTAGAATTACAGGAGATTGTTCTCTTTTTGTTTATCTGTACTTTTCTAAAATTTCTGCCATGAACCTCAACATTTTTCATGGAATAAAGTTTCGATGTTGGCTGGATTGATGCTTCTCAAATTATGCATAGGGAAGAATGAGTTCTTTTCTTATTTCCAATCCATTGATTCTTTGATAAAATGTAATAAAAATAAATTAACTAGGAAATTCTTTTTTTTTTTAAGCAGTTGGCCAAGTGTAGTTGCTCATGCCTATAATCCCAGCACCCTGAGAGGCCAAGGTGGGAGGATCATTTGAGACCAAGAGTTTGAGACTAGCCTGGGCAAAATAGTGAGACCCTGTCTCTAGATAGATAAATAGCAGTCATATAAAATACAAGCCCAGGTTTTCTCTCATTAGATTCAGATTGCTGTGAAAGCTTCCAGAGGCTTACTTTTGTTTCTCTGCTTAGCTTGGTGTAGACCAGCAGGGATTGGTGAACCACACAATGAGTAGCACTGGGCTAGAGAGAGGGGAGGCAAGAATGTGGAAGAGCTGTCTTCCAGATCTGACCATTTCCTGAGGACAGGGACCATGTCTCACATGCCTCCCATTCCACCTGCCCCCCACCCCCTCCAAGACTGAGCACACAGCAGACGTCCAGGAGCCCTTGAATCCAGCCAGCTGACTGCCCCGTGCCTGCACCGGCCCACACCATGCAGCCCCAGTCTGTCCTGCACAGTGGCTACTTCCACCCTCTGCTTCGGACCTGGCAGACAGCCGCCGCCACCCTCGACGCCTCCAACCTCATCTACCCCATCTTTGTCACGTGAGTCCCCAGGAATGGGCCAGGCCTCTGATCTGCTTGGGGGGTAGTGACTGGAGTGGGCATCAGAATTGCTAAGGGTGACAAAGTGGGCGGTCAGCCTGGAACTCAAGGTATTGGAAATGGCCTGCTGATTAAGGACAGCAGTCTTAGGAGCAAGACAAACCTTGAAAATAATTCAGTCACCCCATTTGGCAAATAAGAAGAATAAGACAGAAACTGAGAAGGTGCTCTGTAGATTGTAAAGTGCTAGGTACATGTAAGAGGTGGCAGTCATGATTATTAATAATAGCAACAACAGACATTTATTGACTACTTACTGTGTACCAGATACTTTGCTAAGCGTCTGCGTTCATTATTGCATTCAAACCTGACAGCATTGAACAAAGGAATAGATATTATCCCCTAGAATGTCAACTCCATGAGGGTAGAGATTTTTGTTGGTTTTTCTTCACTGTTGTATCATCAGAGCCTAGAACAGTGCCTGGCACATAGTAAGTGCTCAATAAATATTTGTTGAATTAATTAATCCGCCCAGGATACAGATGAACAACCTGAGGCCCAAAGAGATGATACACCTTGGCCAAGGTCACCCAGGCAGTAAGTGGCTAGGATAGGAGACAAGGATGTTCTGGCTTCCAAGTCCAAGTTCTTAACCACTTTATTCCTTCCTATGATTACTATTCTTTGAGTACAGTTGCTCTTGTTGTCACTGTTATTCTTGTTGTTCCTATTATTATTTCAGGCCCTGGGCTTGGCCAGGCAGGGGAGCCAGACAGTGGATCCCATCCCCCTCCCATCATCACTCCCACATTCCTTCCCAGCTTCCCAGCCATGCCTCCCAGTCACCCCTCACTACCGCCCCTTCCTACAGCCACCAATCCATAGCCCACCCCCCACTCTTGCAGGGATGTTCCTGATGATGTACAGCCAATCGCCAGCCTCCCAGGAGTGGCCAGGTAGGAGACAAGGAGGGGATGGTGGGGGGAAAGATTTCACAGGTGGAGGTGCCAGGAGGCAGAAGATCCGCAAACCTCAGCGCAGTAGAGAAAAGGGTTTCCTCGGGGTCAAAGCCCTTCCATAGTAGAAGAGGCAGCTTCACAAACTAATGAGCTGCCCATCACCAGAGGCCCCACAGCAGAGGCTGGCGCAGAAGGGGGCGGGCCTTCAGATGGGAGGTCAATAAGAGAATCTTGGAGGAGCCTTCACAGCTGAATTCCACAGCTCGGCCATTTAGTGCCTTGGCTTTCCCACCTGTTTGCTACGTGCATTCCTGTCCTCCCCTGTACTGTGGGGCTTGTGCCCTCCTGGTGCTGTGTGCAGCTTGGCTTTTAATAGAGGCACAGTGCTGAGGGGTCAGGGGGACCGTTGCCTGGGACCTGCCTCCCTTTAGCCCCTCCGCCCCACTCCCACCCAGGTATGGTGTGAACCGGCTAGAAGAGATGCTGAGTCCCCTGGTGGAAGAGGGCCTGTGCTGCGTCCTGGTCTTTGGCGTCCCCAGCAAGGTCCCCAAGGTGAAGAATCGGAGGAAAGGAGGGTGGGCTGAGGTTCCACACTGACCACATCCTCATTCCGGCCTTGTGCTGGCCCCAGGACCACAGGTGAATGGACATGTTCCATGCCTTATAACCCATGTGGGTCAGGAGGCTAGGAGGGGCTGCAACACCCTGACTGAATAAATCAGGTCCCCTCTCTGAGCCTCTCCTGTCCCCTTGCAAATGGAGACAGTCCTCTGTGCTTCCTCATCAGGAGCTGTGATGGCGATAACAGGAGAGGGCCGGAGCTGTGCTGTGGCAGGCCATCCTGCCTTCCCAAGGCTTCATGTAACAGACACACTGCTTTGTCCTTCCCCGGCCCCTAGGATGAGCGGGGCTCTGCAGCTGACTCCGAGGAATCCCCAACTATTGAGGCGGTCCGACTGTTGAGGAAGACCTTCCCCAGCCTCCTGGTGGCATGTGACGTCTGCCTGTGCCCCTACACCTCCCATGGTCACTGCGGTGAGCCTCCTCCCTCCCAGTAGCCTTGCCACCACTCACACGCCTACTGCTCAGTTCTCCCCAGGGTGTGGACAGGCCAGGGCCCAAAGTGCTCCCCAAAACCCAGCCATCTGTCCTGCAGGGCTCCTGAGTGAAAATGGAGCATTCCTGGCCAAGGAGAGCTGCCAGCGGCTGGCAGAGGTGGCCGTGGCCTATGCCAAGGCAGGTGAGAGAGCCACCAGCAGGGATGGGCACCTGTGGGCATGGGAGGTGGCAGAGTGGGTAGGAGAGTCTCAGAGTGCTGAAGGCCACCCTCGGCCCCTCAGGATGTCAGGTGGTAGCCCCGTCGGACATGATGGATGGACGCGTGGGAGCCATCAAGGAGGCCCTGATGGCACACGGACTTGGCAACAGGGTACAGTCGGGAGTGCAGCGAGGGGTTTGGGGAGGTGAGGAGTCTGGACCAGCCCTGCCCCCACATCTGCCAAGAATCACAGAGCTGAGGACAGTGCTGGAGGAGGCCTTTGGGGTCTGGCTTCGCCTCTGCACCTCAGATGGGAAATCAAGCCCAGAGCTCCAACAGGACTAAGACCCAGGCATTCTGCTTCCCAGCCTAGGTCCTTTCCCTCCCTGCCACACCACACCGGGGTGTCTGGAAAGGGCCAGCTAAGCCCAGACCCCATGGTCTCCCACAGGTATCGGTGATGAGCTATAGTGCCAAATTTGCTTCCTGTTTCTATGGACCTTTCCGGTGAGTGGGATGGGCAGGGGTCTGCTGTTGAATCCCTGGCTCATTAGCCCAAAGCTGGAGCCCTCCCTGATCACTCCGCTTCTCAGGGATGCGGCTCAGTCAAGCCCAGCCTTTGGAGACCGCCGTTGCTACCAGCTGCCCCCAGGGGCACGAGGCCTGGCCCTCCGAGCGGTGGTGAGTGACCAGGCTTAAGCCCCCACCCCTTCGCACCCTACTCCAGGCACTGCCCACACTACACCCTCATCCATTAGGACCGGGATGTGCGGGAAGGAGCTGACATGCTCATGGTGAAGCCGGGAATGCCCTACCTGGACATCGTACGGGAGGTGAAGGCCAAGGTGAGCACAGATCGGAGGCAAAGGTGGCTCAGGGATGAGAGAATTTGTCCACAGATGCTAGAATCCTAAAGTTGAAAGCAGTCTGCCCTTGAATAGGAATCCTCTCCTCCCCGTCTCTACCCAGGAACCGCCGTGGCCTTCTGAGCCAGGGCTCACAGGAGCCTTTAAACAGCTCTGGTTTAACCGTTTAAGAATGGGCTGGGCTACCAGCAGCAGTGACTCTGGGCATGGGGCTTAAGATGGTCACAGATTGGGCAGGGAGGATGGGACACTCCCAGAGGCACATCCACCCTGCACTTGAACCTATCTGCTCATCACTGCTTCTCTGCAGCACCCTGAGCTCCCTCTCGCTGTATACCACGTCTCTGGAGAGTTTGCCATGCTGTGGCACGGGGCCCGGGCCGGGGCATTTGATCTCAAGGCTGCTGTCCTGGAGGCCATGACTGCCTTCCGCAGAGCAGGTAAGCGGGCAGCGGTGGGGTTGTTTGACGTGTGCCACAGGGATGGTCGGCACTTTGCCCAGATAGGGAAGTGAAGTCTTGGGACGTGTGCCTGGAAATGCTAATGATCTGAACAGATGCATGGTGAGGAAGGGATGTGGAGCTACAGGATAGAACGTGAAACAGTGAAGCAAGCAGGGCCCTCTCTTACTTTTTGGCTGTAAGAATGTGGACGTGGCTGTAAGAATATGGACGTGGTTCTTGAACCTCAGCGTCCTTGTCTGTAAGCTAGTGGATAAGATGCGGGTGCGTGGTTGTCCTGAGGATTCAGTAAGGTAATATGGATAATTGGCATATGCTGTTCTCTCCATGAGCAGGAGCTGGTGTTGGTAGTGTAGCGCATCAGCATGGGCTTGCAGCTTACCTACTTCCCCCACTGTGCATCTTATACTTTGAAAAACTGAGGCCCAGAAAAAGACTTACCCAGGGTCTAGAGCTGCCCAAAGCCAGGCTCCATCTCTTGCCGTGCCACCTGCAGTCTGTGGCTCACCGTGGTAGCCTTCTTCCCCGCCTGGCCCTCCTCTCCCAGAGTGTGTGCTCAGAGCTGACGCCCACCCCTCTCCCCTGCTTCCTGCTTCTCTCCAACACAGGTGCCGACATCGTCATCACCTACTACACGCCTCAGCTGCTGCAGTGGCTGAAGGAGAAGTGATGCAGAGAGTGCAAACACCCAAGGACTAGAGCTTTAAAAAGTTCCCAGGGCCTCCGAGAAGTGAAAACCAAAGTAAACGCTGCTTTTAGAACTGTGCCCTCGTGCCCTCTTCCTGCTCTCACGCTGGCGGGGACCCAGCAGCCCTGGGTGGTTTCTGCCAGCATGCTAACTCTTAGCACTGGCAGCCACATCCTCACGGGCTCTCCCAGGCTTCCCCACCCAACCCCGGGGTCGGCCCGGGGCTTCCCCTTGCCACCCCCAGCTCTTTCCTCCGGTGTGGCTTCAGCTTGAAAGCAACCTGGAGTCCCAGGCGCAGCTTGGTGGGGCCTGGCCGGGAGAGGGGCGTGGAGCACGAGGGGAAGAGGAGTGCAGTTGGATCTTGCATCCTAAGAAGCTTTGGAAAGCCTTTGGCAGCAGAGCTGGGTGCTGGCACTGAGGCCTAGATCCATGTTTTCGGGTTAGAGTTGAAGTTTGCTGCGATTCCACCGGAAGGCATTTCCCACACCGGCCCGTGGTTGTCAGGCTGCCTGAGATCGCCTGTTCTACTCTGAGCCATTAACCCAGAGGAGAATTACTCATTAACGAGCAGAAACACTGCCTGAGGATCAAATCCGGAAGCAAAGAGGGAGCTCCTGACAGCTGGAATGCCACATCCAAAAACATTTTTACTTAAGAGAGATTTCTCTACTCTGTGCCCAGGCACGGTGTTGGGTACTGGGGATACAGCAGGACAGACCTCAGTTTGTCTCTTCTTGGAGTTTATACAGAGAATAGAGAATGGGGGAAACAGATAAGACAGACAAATAAAGTAGTTACAAATTGTCACAGTGCTTTGAAGGAAAGAGAGGGTCTGAGACAGAATAATGGCAGCAGCCTCTCTGGAGAGGGTGGTAGGGAAGCCCTCCCTGAAGTTGAGACCTGTGAGGGACAAGGAAAGATCCTTATAAAAAGCAGAGGGCGGCAAGAGCCATATGACATGTGCAAAGAGCCTGTAGTGGGAGAAGCTTGGCAGGGGAAGGAAGAGAAGGGTGGGTGACAGGGCTGGAGGTTCGAAGGGTAGGCCAAGGCCAGATCCCGTGCCTTGTGAGAAGCTTGGATTTTATTCTACATCTGATGGGAAGCCAACAGAAGGATTTTGAGTTACGGGTGGTCCAAGTTCCCATATTCAGCTGCTATGGGAGAAATGAAGCAGCAAGAGAGGAAGACACTGAGGTAGTCACACATGGTGGCATGTGTCTGTAGTCCCAGCTGCTTAAGAGGCCAAGGCAGGAGGATGGCTTGAGCCCAGGAACTCCAAGCTACAGTGAGCTACCATTGTGCCACTGCACTCCAGCCTAGGTGACAGAGCAAGACCAGGGTAGTGGCAGTGGAGATGGGAAGAAGTGGATGTATTCAGGATACGTTTTGGAGACAGACTTAGCAGACACTGCAATGCTTCAAATCCAGGGGAGGTGGTGGGTTGGGGAACTGGAATCAAGGATGCTTTCGTGGGTTTCTAGCTCAAACAGATTTTTCTGAGACTGACATGACATAATGTTTCCCCCTAGTGAAAGTTAAGGCCCAGCTAAGGAGGGACTGGTTTGCAAATCCACCTGCCCGTCTGCAGAGTGGCAGGGAATCCCCACTCGACGGCCAAAGCTAGTTCAATTTGGACCTTAAAGCAATACAATCCATTTTAAAACGTAGAATTATAAGCTGTGGTCAGACCAGTTCTCTCTGACTCCTGAGAGTCTTCTCCAGAGCTGTAGCTGACTCACCTTAAGACCTGATCCCAGCAGGGGGCTGGGGCAGGTCTAAAAAGAAAAATTAAGACCTGGTCTCAGCCTTCTAGAAGGTAGCCAGCCAAAATCAGGGCTTGAAGAGTCCCAAGATTCACCTTCCAGGAAGCCTGAGTTTGGATCTTCTACCTAGGGGCCTAAAGACAAGCCATTGATGGGCCAAGGGTAGACCAGACCAAACTTCAGCTGTCTTAGCTTATGGGTCTCCTGTCTCCTGGCCCCTGAGCTCATTTCTGGCTAAAATGATTAGTGTGGAAGGAAAGGTTCTTCAAGATCATCCCAGACTCATTGCCAAGCAAACGTAGAGCCTGGCTCTGTTCTAAGCACAGAGAGATGGGACACACTGTCTTTTAGGTACAAAGAGAAGGCTGCAAACAACCCCGTGTGTCCAGACCCCTCAGTGAACACATGGTAAACAATGAGCAGAATGAGGACAAGTCTACCTGGGATCCAGAAGGCAGATGGATCCCAAGGATAGGGGTGGCAGGTGCTGTGAAGGAGGTTGCCAGGATCTAACCTTTGAAGGGTCAGAAGATGCTTCCCTGAGGGACTGACATTTGAGCCTAGACCTGAAGGATAAGCAGCCAAACTAAGCTAAAACATAATTAGGGAAGACCATTCTAGGGAGAGGGAACAGTTGTGCAAAGGCCCTGGGGCTAGAAGGAGCTGGAAGAATGCAAGGCTAGCCTGTCCAGCATCAGGAAGGATGGAAGAAGAGGTGGCTTGAACTGAGTGGAAAAAGAAAGACCAGGGCCAAACCACGCAGGGCTCAAAGGCAAGCTCAGCCTTTGCAGACTTTATTCCAAGCCATTTAAAGAACTTTAAGCAGGGAGATGACTCAATGTAATTTGCATTTTATAAAAGCATTTTGAAGGTACAGTGGTAATGTACAGATGAGAAGCTTTGATGCCCTGGACTGGAATGGTGACTGGGAATGAAGAGAGAATGGATTTAGGGTAGGTTTAGATGTGAAGGATGAACTTGGTTTGACCTTCTAGACCATTTACTGAGGTAGGGAAGCCTGGATAGAGGAACAGAAGCAGGGTCAAGGTGGAGGAAGAATATTAAATTTAGCTTGGGGTGTTTTGCAATGAGGAAGCTATATCTAGAGACCTTATGTGACTCACCTGAAGCCACTCAGCAAGTCTGGCAGAACTGAGTTAGAACTTTAGCCACACAGAAAACGGCAGAGCTGGGATTTGATCCCATACCATGTAGTCTAACTGCAAGGCCTCTGCCCTTAACCACTGTGCCATACCACCTCCCAATAATCAGTAGCAAAATTATGGTTTTGCCACTTGGCAACAACACCATTACTAATTACTTTAGGCTTAAATGGTCCTTAAGATGGTCCTAAGATGGACCCAGGGAAAGATTCTTTCTGTCCTGTCACACAGCAAGTCTCTGGAGGTCTCTCATTGGCCCTGCACTGGTCACATGGCCCACCTCTTGACTCAATCACTGTAAACAGTGGCATGGGAGATGGGGCACTGTGATTGACCAAGTCTGCTTCATCAAACAGAAGGCTGCCGAGGTCTCAGAGCTTTTGTACCAGTGGTACAAAAATGTTAGACAGATGTCCCTCAACTTACGCGGTGGGGATATATCCCAATAAGTCCCTCATAGGTTGAAAATGTAAGTCAAAAATGCATTTAATACACCTAACCTACCAAACACCAGAGCTTAGCCGAGCCTACTTTAACCATGCTAGAAACACTTACATTAGCCTACAATTTGTCAAAACCATCTAACACAAAGCCTGTCCTATAATAAAGTTATAAAGAATTTTGGATCGAAATTCAAAGTATGGTTTCTACTGAATGCTTATCACTTGCACCACCACAAAGTCAAAAAGTCAGGAGTCGAGTCGTCAAAGTTGGGGACCATCTAACTAGCTCCAGGAATGAGGGAAAACCAAGGGGCCAGTTGCCTTCAGGCATCATGGTCTATGTGAGTGTTGCCCTCTGGAGTCAGGACTTGTCACCTAGGGTGCCAGCTTACAATGTTTTGTCTACAGAAGCAATGATGGCCTGGCAGCAGCACTCAGCAAGAAACATTAGGGTGGTCCTGTGGGATCTGGCTCTGCTGTGGTCCCAGTCTCCTGCTATGTGACTTTCCCTTGCTGGTAATTTTATCTCTGGACAGAGAACTCAGCTTTCACAATCTGGCAAGGCCTGTGATAGTATCATGAGACTTCCAGGCATCACTGCCAGTTAGTGAGCATGAATGTTCTCTATTAGTGAGACTTAACTCTCTTGTTTCCCTCTCAGGTGTGCCGGCCAGGAATGTAGCTTGTCCCTTTCTCATAGGACCTTACTAAAGGCCACAACAAGTAGACAGCACATTCCACTATTCTCACTTAGTTTTACCTAAGATCCCTAAACTAGTACCTCAGTGGTTGTGGCTCCAAAAAACAGCAGGCATTGTAGCCAGCCTCTTTACTGGCTGAGAGCAAAGAGTGTCAATTTCCCAACCAGGCAAGGGGGGGAGTCCTCACCTGCTCCGTGCCTCACATGGACTCTGCCAGTTCCACATATTAGGGCCCCGACTTGCAGCAAACCACACTGTACCGTTCTGGGTGCCCTTTGCTGCTAGTGACAGAAACCCAATTCAATAGCAAAAAAGGAAATGATAGGTTTTCATAACTGGATTGTGATAAGGACAGGTGTGGTTGGATCAAGGTTCAAATGCTCTCCTGGAGGACTCTGTCCCTTGCTAGCTCTCAGCTATGTTTGTCACAGCTTGGCTGTATTCTCAGAAGGGCTTTTGCCACTTGGCAATAACACCATCACCAATTGCTCTAGGCTTAAATAGTCCTTAAGATTTATAATCCCTGGGAAGCCGGGCGCGGTGGCTCACGCCTGTAATCCTAACACTCTGGGAGGCCGAGGCGGGAGGATCGCTCGAGGTCAGGAGTTTGAGACCAGCCTGAGCAAGAGCAAGACCCCGTCTCTACTAAAAATAGAAAGAAATTAGCTAGACAACTAAAAATATATAGAAAAAGTTAGCTGGGCATGGTGGTGCATGCCTGTAGTCCCAGCTGTTTGGGAGACTGAGGCGGGCGGATTGCTCAAGGTCAGGATGTCGAAACCAGCCTGAGCAAGAGTGAGACCCCGTCTCTACTATAAATAGAAAGAAATTAATTGGCCAACTAATATACAGAAAAAATTATCCGGGCATGGTGGCGCATGCCTGTAGTCCCAGCTACTCGAGAGGCTGAGGCAGGAAGATTACTTGAGTTCAGGAGTTTGAGGTTGATGTGAGCTAGGCTGATGCCACCGCACTCACTCTAGCCCAGGCAACAAAGTGAGACTCTGTCTCAAAAAAAACAAAAATAAAAATAAACAATAAAAAAATATGTAATCCCTGGGAAAGATTCTGTCCTGTCAGTCTCTGGGGGTCTCTGATTGGCCCTGCACAGGTCACACAGCCCACCTCTTGACTCAATCACTGTAAACAGTGGCATGGGAGATGGGGCACTGTGATCCACCAAGTCTGTTTCATTAAAAGCAGAGGGCTGGCCGGGCGAGGTGGCTCAAGCCTGTAATCCTAGCTCTCTGGGAGGCCCAGGCGGACGGATTGCTCAAGGTCAGGAGTTCGAAACCAGCCTGAGCAAGAGCGAGACCCCCGTCTCTACTATAAACAGAAAGAAATTAATTGGCCAACTAATATATATAGAAAAAGCCGGGCATGGTGATGCATGCCTGTAGTCCCAGCTACTCGGGAGGCTGAGGCAGCGGAATCGCTTGAGCCCAGGAGTTTGAGGTTGCTGTGAGCTTAGGCCTGAACGCACAGACTCAGAACTCTAGCCTGGTACAAAGTGAGAACTCTGGGTCTCAAAAAAAAAAAAAAAAAAAGCAGAGGGCTGCTGATGTCTCAGAGCTTTTGTGCCAGTGGTCCCCTCTGCCTGGAAGGTGTCTCCCCTAAATCTGTGTGGCTGTCTCCTTTCTGTTGTTAAGATCTCAGCTTAAGTGTCACTTCCTCCAGGAAAACTGACCCAATGCCTAATCTAAAGTCATTCTCTATTCACTGTCTATATTAGTCTCAATTTAGGTTCAGTGGATATAGCAAAAGTCAAAATAACAATAGCTTAAGATGGAAATTTACTCCTCTCTAAGCAGTCCACGACTGGCATGTCAGGTACATATTGTGAGGTCCCACCTCTTGCCTTGTTCTGTCGTCCTCAATCTATCCTGGCTTCCATCTTGTGATCAAAGATGGTGGGTCCAGTTCCCACCAGGTCCTTTTGTCAGCTGGCAGGAAGAGAAGAGGGCAAGAGGAGGGCATGACCCCAAAGTGGCACACATCATTTCTCTCCACACACCCGTGTCTGAACTTAGTCACACGGCCACACCTAGTTGTAAGAGAAGCTGGGAAACAGTCTAGAGGGGCAGCCATCCACTCAACTAAAACTCAGGAGTTCAATTACTAAGGAAGACAGGGATTGGACATTGGGGGCAAATAGCCATCTCCCCCATGTGGAGGTTTTTGGAATCACAGAAACAGTGGTCAGAATATCAAAGTAAAGAGGTCCTTAGAGACCATCTAGTTAAATACTCTCATTTTATAAATGGGGAGACAGACCCAGAGAGGTGACTTGTCCAAAATCACACAGCAAACCAGTGGTAGACCAAGGCTAGAATTCAGTCTCCTAACTCCAAGCCCAGTGCTCAAAACTGGGAAAGAGATTGGTTTTAGAGGGACCTTAGCTTCATATATGTTATTCATACATATATTATATATTCATATACTATCTTTATTCATGTGTTATATATAACAAGAATATATTCCTGTGTGGTTGTATAAATTAAATAAGAACTTGGCCAATACATGTATAAATTTCTCCATTAGCCAGTGGAGAAATTCAAATTAAAACTACAATGAGATACCACAAAATACATTCATCAGAATGCCTAAGAGTAAAAAGACAGACAATGCTGATTGTTAAAAATGTGGAGCAACTGGAACTCTTGGATATTATTGGTACAACCCCTTCAGAAAACTGGCCCTGTTTTCTAAAGCTGAACACACATACATGTACCTTATTACCTTGTGATTCTACATCTAGGCATTTACCCAAAAGAAATATATATGTATGTTCATCAAGAGACATGTTCAAGAATGTTCATAGCAACATTTTGTAATATGTGTAATAAAATGAGATAACTCAAATGTTTATCAGTAGTAAAATGTGGTCCATTCATATAATGGAATATTATAGCTATGAGAATGAACGAACTACAGCTACACATAGCAACGTGGGTGAATCAAATAAAATTTTGAGCAAAAGAAGCAAGTCCCAAAAGAGTGCATGCTGTATTATTCTATTCATATGCACTTCAAAAACAAGAAAAACTATGCAATTAGAAGGGAGTATAGTGACTCCTTGTGCAGGTAAGCAACTAGAATAGACTGGCTATCAGGTTCTGGAAATTGTTCTTTTTCTTGGTCTGGGTGCTGGTTACATGGGTTTGTTCACTTTGAAAATTCAAGGGCATGTATACTTCTTTGCACTGCTCTGTGTAGGGTATATTTGAATAAAAAGTTTGAAAAAATAAGTAAAAGAAAATTTAATAGTAAAGAGACATGTGTCCAGTGGGCCCTGCCTGGGTTTACTTAGTGCTTTCAGTGTGAGAATCTCTAGGAAAAAGCCCTCATGTAAGAAACTTGGTTTCCCAAAGAGAAATACCTTAAGCCAGCATCCAATATAGTAATATGGAAGGTGGTCTCCGGCAGCAATCACCAGGCTCAAGTCCACACAGGATAAGCCAAGAGATGAAACCGGCAGATTTCTGTCATTGAACTTAGGGAGGAAAATATAGCCATTAAGTGTATCTATTTTTGAACTGACAAATCAAAAAGAAGCTTGTTCCAGCATATCGGGGACCTGTCATTGGCTTTCCTATGACAAGCAAGGCACCTTTTTCTCTGCAGAAAAAGTTACCCAGAGAAAATTAAAAAGCAGAACCCTGAGGACAGAGCTAAATCAGGGCCACACCTCCAGGGAGCGCATTCACATAGATGACAATGAAATGCCCTCTTCCTGGAGTTGTGCAATGCAGTGGCCCTGGGTTGAAATAGGATGTGACCTTGCACAAAACCCTTAACCTCTTGGATTCTCAATTTTCTTAGTAAAAGAATCATCTTTTACTTCTCAAGGAGCTTTTCCCTGGGATCTCATTTGGTCATGATATAGACATTGTTATGCCCTATTTACATATAAAGAAACCAAGGTTTGATGGGCAAAGTTATTATTTATCTTGGAAATTAACTTAAAAGCTAGCCTGGACTTCAGTTGGAAGTTGTTTTGTCTAATCCCCCCATTTTGCATATTGGGAGACTGAAGCCCAGAGAGGAAAAGAATTGAACGGAGCACGCACAGAGGGTCAGATGGCAGATCTGGGACCAGAACCTAAGGGATTAGGTTTTAGGTGTCCCGGAAAAGTCAACAATCTAAGACATTCTCAGATTCTGTGAAATGCAAATGGACCTCTGGCCTCCCAGGGGTCCTTCCCACCCCCGCTTCTGGGAATCATGCTTGTGACACAAAACCAGTTTTGCAGCCGTCCCTGGAGTCAGGTTCTTCCTGGCAGGCCCAAGGTCTGTGACTCTGCACTTTGTTTCCTCCCAGGCCGGAGTCCAGGGTAAGGTGGCTCTGAAGTGAACAGCCTTGGAACACAGGAGGAAGTTTTTGTCATGTTTTTAAAAAGAGGGGTAGGGAGGAGGAGGAAGAAAGAAAGAATTATGTACGTGTGTGTGCTCCTAGCAAAATGTCCTATAGCATTACCAAAACTGTCACTTCAGCAACCCCAGGCTGGGGTGGAGGAGTGAGATGGGGTGGGGAAGCCCTTCTCCCCCCACCCCGCCAGGAGGCCACTGCCTTGCTCAGTAAGCAGCTGGAGCTCCAGCGCCTTCGCCCTCACCGGTTCCTCACCTTGTTGTCTGCCCCTCCCGCGTCCCACAAAGGCAGGAACTATCTCGTTTCCCACTGACTCCTCCGCGAAGGACGGTGTCAGGCACAGAGCAGACGGATGCGGTGAATGAGGTTGGGGGAGAGGCCTTTCACTTTTCACTTTGTACACGTTTGCATTTTTAAAGATTTTTTTTAGATAAGCGTGCATTACTTTTGCAAAAATTAAATTAAATTAAATTAAACGTCCTTTTATTTTTCTTTAAAAGAATACAAAAAACAACTAGGTTATTGCAGAAGGCTCTACCGTCAGCAAATCGTCTGGGGGTAGACAAGTCTCCAACTGAAGAAGCAATGCCCTCCTAGGACCCACTGGGGACCCTAAGACCAGAGAGGGGCAGCGCCTTGGCCGTGTCCACACAGCACCGAGCAAGCCAGCCCGGGTCCCAAATCCTCTTACTCCCAAGTCAGCAGGGGTACCTCCCTGGGGTGTCCCGAGTCGTGGGAGGGGTGCAAGGTGGGGGATGGGAAGAGGGGCGAGCAGGGGGGGCGGGGCGGAGAACAGAGAGGGTGCGGGGTAACGGAAGGGACTGGGGGGCGGAAGAGCGCTGGGAGGCGGGTGACAGAGGGGCCCGGAGAGGCGCACCGGGTGACGGCGGCGGGAGAGGGACGGCGAGGGGGCGGGGACGGGGCGGGAGGAGGAGGAGGAGCGGCGGCAGCGCGAGCCCCGCCGAGCCAGCCCCGAGCGTGCGTGGGCCTCTGCCCGAGCCGGACCGGCGGGGGCTGCGGCTGCTAGGCTGGTGGGTCCCAGGCCCCGGGGATGGGCGCCGAGCCTGGGAGCGCGCTGGAGCTGAGAAGGGACCCAGGGTCCGGCCCGGGCCCGGCCTAGAGCCCTAGGACCTTCCCTCCCCAGGCCACACTGCACGTGACAGCTGTGCAGCTTTTGCGTGAACTCCGGGCTCCTGGATTTGGCCTCTACGGAGCCGAGACCCGGAGGTGGGGAGGAAGGGCGAGCGATTCGGGCCTGCAGCCCAGAGCCCCAGCCTGGGCTCCCAGAAGTGGAAAACGCGCGGGTCGGGAGCCACAGCCCTTTGTTCTAGTCTTAGCTGTGCCCGTGACTCCCGGTGTGATTTTGGGTAAGTTCCTGCCCTTCGCTGGGCCTCCATCTACCCACCTGCAAAATGAGAGGGTCTTTGGATGGGTCTAAGTTCCAGACTGACTTAAATTCATTTCCTTGACAAACTTCCTCTTGAGGCTTGTCCCCATGGTCACCAGCCACGTCCCTCCCCCAGCACCAGCCTGGCTGCACGCTGAACTCTGGCCCCTCTGGCTCCTCGGGTTCCACGTGGACAGCCGTGCGCTGTCTGCAGTCAGCTCTGTCTGGGGAAGAAGCTGCGTCCAGCCTCTGGACAACAGGCTGAGGAATTTGTATCCTGTGCAACGGGTCAGTAATCTTTCCATCCGTTCTCTTCCCGGGCAGGTGTTACCGCTGGTAAAGATGAAAAGTTGGTGCTCAGATTGGGTCGGGACAGGAAGGAACAGGTTCCTCTGTCTTGTCTTTTCTTTTGTGCTCTACAAGTTCACCAAAATCAGATTTAAAAAAAAATCCAAATATATCTAAGCATGATGCAGGGGAGTCTGGAAGTTTGGGTTCTAGTCCTGGCCGTGGGGCTTACTCTAGCTGTGACCTTAGGCAAGTATCTGCCTCTCTCTGGCTCAGTTTTCCCCAGACTTCCCTCAGCAGTCAGGATGTTGGTCAGATAGGCTGCAAATGCTTTTCTGTCTTTGACAATGCTAATAATAGTAATAGCAATCATCATAATTGTTTCCTTTCCTTGACCTACAAGGCCCTGCCTGAGCTGGCCCCTGCTACCCAAAGCACCAAACTCCTTGCCCTGCCTCAGGGCCTTTGCACTTGATATTGCCACAGCCCGGAGCACTTAACTACTTCTGCTTCTTGCATATTCATTCTTCAGATCTCCACTGAAACTTCACTTGCTTATAAAATTCCCGACAACAAAGACTAGATTGGGTCCCTGGATTTATCCTTATGGTATATATTGACTTCATTATGCTTAATTATTTGTGAAGTTCTTTGTCTAATCTTTGTATCCCCTATTCTTCAATGCCTGTGACTCTCCTAGGGTTGCACAGTTGGCAGCACCAGAATTCAAACCCAGTCTGTCTGATGTCAGGGCCTGAGCTTCCATCTCATTTGCTGTTTTTCATTCCAGGATCTTGTGCTGTGAAGAAGTTTCCCAAGTGCCTCATGTCAGCCGGCAAATCTGACCGACAAGGCCTGGAAAGAGAAGACTGTTAGGTTGTGGAGGGGTGGTCTTGTCCGGTTCAGTTTTCCTGTGGACCGACCGTGGGACCTGAGGTAGCACTGGGGTGGACTTGGCCTCCTCCATGGCACGCCAGCTGCAGATACGACTGCTGACGTGGGACGTGAAGGACACACTGCTCAGGCTCCGCCGCCCTGTGGGGGAGGAGTATGCCACCAAGGCCCGGGCCCACGGGCTGGAGGTGGAAGCCACAGCCCTGGGACAAGCCTTTGGGCAGGTGTACAAGGCTCAGAGCCACAGCTTCCCCAACTATGGCCTGAGCCATGGCCTCACCTCCCGCAGGTGGTGGCTGGATGTCGTCCTACAGACCTTCCACCTGGCAGGTGTCCGGGATGCCCAGGCTATAGCCCCCATTGCTAACCAGCTGTATGAGGACTTCAGCAGACCCTGCACCTGGCAGGTGTTGGAGGGGGCCGAGAACACCCTGCGGGGGTGCCGCACACGGGGCCTGAAGCTGGCAGTGGTCTCCAACTTTGACCGACGGCTAGAGGACATCCTGGTGGGTGTTGGCCTGCGGGAACACTTTGACTTTGTGTTGACCTCGGAGCATACTGGCTGGCCCAAGCCAGACTCCCGCATTTTCCATGAAGCCTTGCGGCTTGCTAATGTGGAACCAGCAGTGGCAGCCCATATTGGGGACAGTTACCGCTGTGATTACCAGGGGGCTCGGGCTGTAGGCATGCACAGCTTCCTCGTGGTTGGCCCAGAGCCTCTGGACCCCACAGTCAGGGATTCTGTACCTAAAGAACACATCCTCCCCTCTCTGTCCCATCTTCTGCCTGCCCTCGACTGCCTAGAGGGCTCAATGCCAGGGCTTTGAGTATGGAGAGGGAAGTGGCTGGGGTCTAGGCCATGGAGAAAACCCTAAACAAACACTGGAGACAGGGGGCCTCTTCTTTCTCTGCAGCTCTGGACTTTGCCCGTCTCCTTGCAGCCTCCGTAACCTGTTCACGATAAAGCAATGAGTGCTGGCTTTTCAGCCTTGTCCCACTAACCCACTCATGGTCTCTGAGTTCACTCATTTCCATTCACCCTATGTCCCTTTCCCATCATGAGACCCTTCACATCCAGCAAGACTAACCGAGGGCGCAACTAGCTTCAAAACAAAGCACCTTCGAACTGTTTTAGCAGCAGGGCCCTTTTATCATGGGAGATCTGAAACCCCATTATGCAAAATGGAAAAACCATAAACCCCCAAGAAACTGCTAGAGTTGAAGCAGAGGTCCTAAGTCCTCTCATTCAGCCTCTGAGATGCCTTCCCCCTGGAAGCCTGAGGTCGGACCTTAGTTTGAAAATCAGTGCCAAGTTGTGCTATAGGGACACTGTCCATTAAACTAGCCTAAACAGGAGAGTTTAGACAAGGAACAGCATAATTACAGTCATGAGAAGAAACACTGTTGATTTATGCTTGCCAAGTTTGTTTTTTGTTTTCATTTTCCTTTTGAGACAGGGTCTGGCTGTGTTGCCCAGGCTAGAGTGCAGTGGTGGCATCATAGCTCACTGCAACCTCAAACTCCTAGGCTCAAGCAATCCTCCTACCTCAGCCTCCTGAGTAGCTGGGAATACAGGTGCACGCCACCATACCTTGCTGATTTTTTCTATTATTTGTAGAGATGGGGTCTCAGCATGTTAGTCTGGTTGGTCTCAAACTCCTGGCCTCAAATAATCCTTCCACTTCAGCCTCCCAAAGTGCTAGGATTACAGGCATTTAGTGCCACCACACTTGGCACTAAATTCTTTGCATATATAACCCTAAAGCTACCTAATGGGCATAGCTGGTGTCCCTCACTTCATCAAAGAGAAAACGGATTCAGAGGTTAAGTAGCCTGCCTGAGGTGACAGCTAGCATGTGAGGGAGCCAGGATTCCAATTTAGGCACATCAGACTCAAGCTTCCCAGCTTGACCACTAGGTTGCAAGAAAACAGGAATCCATGTTATGTGGGACAGCGCAGCAGGGATCCTGGGAAGTGAGTGAGGCATTGGAAGTAGGGAGGAAGGGTGAGCAGTCCGGGCCTACAGCCTGGAACTAGTGTGTGTTCTCCAGAGTAGACCCTGAATTAAAGGTTGGCATTGGGGGTGACATTTAGGTGGGGAGAGAGATGGGGAGAACATTCCTGCAGTAGGCCCTTGAGCTGGGGACTCAAGGTTGCTGTGGGGAGTTGGGTTGATGGGTTTGGGATAGGGCTTGGCATGGGGACCTCATAGAAGACCCCTTCTGGATCTGTCGGTTGGGACTGACACTAAGGCCAGGCAACTCGACAGTAGTTCCTGAGTGTCAGGTGGTGAGGACACAGGTCACGAGCTGTGGTCTCAGAGCTGCAAGGGCCTCAGAGATCACCTCAACCAAAAAGTCATCAGTAGGAGGTCTGTGGACTAAATTTGATCTGCCTAGTGTTGCAAGTAGATTATTGACCAAACATAAAAATCAACAGACTTCACATAAAAATCAGGATTTTTTGGCTTTTCTCTAGAGAGCTCTACCCCTGACCATTCTGGGTCCACATTCCTGCATGGCCACAAAGGGCTGGGGATGATTGGTTGCCGTCCCTTACTCTTGGACTGTTTCACTCATTACCCACTGACCCCAACCAGTCTTACTTTGTGACCTCCGATGATTAAACTGATTTTCTAACTGCTCAGTGGCTGTCATCCTCTTTGGACACAGGAGCCTGGAGTTGTAGGTAAGATTGCTTTAGAAGAGTTCCTGTATGAAAGTTAGAAGACCACTATTCACAGAGGAAAAAAACATGAAGGGTGCCTTTGGTCCCAGTAATGTCTCCAGGTTTTTTCTGCTACGCTGAGCTGTCACTCCTTTTTTTTTTTTTTGAGACAGTGTTTCATATGTTGCCTGGGCTAGAGTGCCATGGCATCAGCCTAGCTCACAGCAACCTCAAACTCCTGGGCTCAGGCGATCCTTCTGCCTCAGCCTCCCTAGCAGCCGGGACTACAGGCATGTGCCACCATGCTCGGCTAATTTTTTCTATTTATTTTTAGTTGTCCAGCTCATTTCTTTCTATTTTTTTAGTAGAGATGGGGTCTCGCTCTTGCTCAGGCTGGTCTTGAACTCCTGAGCTCAAATGATCCGCCCGCCTCGGCCTCCTAGAGTGCTAGGATTACAGGTGTGAGCCACCACGCCCGGCCACTTCTGAGAATGTGGGTGAGGGCAAGGAAGACAGGCCAAGATAGGAATAGACCCAATTACCAACAAAGAGTGTGGAAGAAATCTTTAAAGCTTTTAAGACCTTTAATAATGTCCAGGTGCCCTGAGGCTGGCCCTCGTACCCCCTCAGCTCTTTCTGGCTAGAAGCCCTCACCCCAGGTCTCCACTTTATGTCAGAGGAGGCTGTCAGGTGAGAGAACTCATCAGCTGCAGGAGGACGACAAAGTTAATCTCTGTGCCTGGTGGGCACAGGCTGGAGTTCAGTGCCATGTCTGAGATGCCAATAGTGATGTTGCAGCCAGGTCACCTGGAGACATGATCCCTTGGTCTTCCAAAGTCCGAGGAAGGACCTGGGGGAAGGACAGAGCCCCCAGGCCAGACTCCTCTTGCCAGTAGACTTTCAGGTTGTCCATGTGTGCCATGTCATGAAAAAGATTGAGAAGCACTGACCTTAGGACATGAAGAAGCTTCAGCCACAAGCTTCTCTGCCAGAGAACCACTTCTAAATGCACAAAGCTGGGGGGAGAGGCCTAAAAGGCAGAGCCTCTCCAGAGACTACCATATCCATCCACTCACCCACCCATCTGTCCGTCCACTCACTCGCCGTGTGTTTATTACATGCTCGCTACGCACCAGGCGCCATGCCGGATGCCAGAGATGAAGTGGTAAACAAGACACCCTCGGAGGGCCAGGTGTGTGGTGGATTTGGGAGACTAGGGTCCAGGGAGTGGCAGGTTCCACGCAGATACCCAGTATTCAAAGTTTGGGCCCAGGTCTGAAACAGGCCCCCACCCTTCCTAAAGCTGCCCATTGGGCCTGGGTCCTGTTTTCCTTAGAAACATCACACACATCGTTTGGGAAAAGGACAGTGGATGGAAACATGGCCTGAAAGGGTGGTGGGGAGGATGACCTGGCATTACTGCGGCCAGAGGTCAGTGGACGATGGAGATGTTCTGATCAGCCACAGCGAAGACTGGGAAGAGGGGCCCAGGGAAGGGTGCGTGGTAGGTGTAGAGCACCGTGCCCGAGGCTGGATCATAGAAGAGCAGCTCCTGAGCCTGCAAGTCCAGCAGCACGCCCAGCTGAGCTGGGCACTGCAGCAGCCCCAGGGCCTCGTGCTGCCCATTGTGCAAGAAACGGAACTCCTGGTCGTAGCGAGAGAAGACCCAGGAGAAGGCGTTGTAGCCCAGACGGCAATCACTGCCAGAACCCTTGCGGGGCAGCTGGCCTGAGGCCACGCCCACCTTATAGGCACAACTGTTCTGCACATTCACCATCCAGGCGTGCAGTCCGGCCTGGAAGGAGGTGGCAGCCAGGGCATTGGGCCAGTGGTCAAAGCGCTCTGGGCCATCTACACAGGCCTTGGACTTCTTGGCGTTGTAGGTCAGGGTCCGTCGATCGTCTGACAATTGCAGGAAGGGGCCAACGGTCCTCTCATCAATACGAATGTCCTCTGTGCCTGCCAGAAAGAATTCTTAGAGTTGCCCAGGGTCCACCCTTGCCCTAACCTGGTCCCACCAGGTAGCAAAGGGCTTCCTTACCACTCACTGTCAGTGTGACCTCAGACAAGTCATTTATTCTCTCTGAGCCTCAGTTTCCTTGTACATAAAATGGGTATCAAAATAGGACTTAGCACAGGGTGGTTATGAGAATTAAAGGACATGATACACGTAAAATGCCCAGCATATAACAGGTGCTCAATAAACTGTAGCCATGATAACAGTAGTTATTATTGGTCCAAGACCTTCATCTGTAAGCTCTGATAGAAATAAGGCCCAGAGAAAAGTGAGTTGCCCAAGGTTACACACTGAGTTGGTGGCTGGGTCAAAATGAAGGCCTGGCATCTTGTTCCTACATCTAGCACTGATCACACTGCTTTCTACTTGGCTGTATCTGTGGTCTCTAGGTCAGACTTGTTCTATCTGGAAACTAGGGCATGAGGCATGAGATGCAGTTTCCAGCAAATAACTAAAATGGACTGCTGGTAAATCAGGCACTGATATCAGGATCTAGAATAGACAAGCTATAGCTTGTACCAAAATGTTAAGGATAACATGTGGAGAGTGTGTTAATATTGAAAATAAATCCGATCTATGAACCTAACGACTCCATGAGTTGTGCAAAGACTAGGGAGTATAGGTGGGAGTATGGATGCTACCATCCAACTTGGGGAAAGCCTGCTTTGAGAATCCCTGTGCTAAGTGGGAATTCCTAGAGGCAGAAAACCGTGTCACATTCACCTCTGTGGCCACAGCATGCAGCACATGGCCATGGCCGGGCCCACGGTTGGCCTGAGTCAATGTTTGTTAAGTGAATAAATAGGCAAATCCAGGCAGTCTAATTCTTGGTCCAGACACTCTCCAGTTAGCTGTCAGTTATATCTTCATAAAAGAGAAACCCAAGGTTTCCAATAAATAACACTGAGCTGCCCCAGCAGGGCAGGATGTAAAGAGGATGTGATTTACAGGAACAAGATTTATCCTAAATCCAACCACAGAACAGGTTGGTCTGGAAATGGGAAGGATCAGCCTGCATCCAGCATTCCTGGTGGCTTCAGCTACCATCCCAGAAGCACTGGTCCCCAGTGTGACCCAGGAGCAAACCCCAGACAGACAGACAGACAGACAGAAGCCCAGTTGCTCCCGATGGTAGCAGCTCCTAACCTGAGAGGGTCCCAAGAACCGCTGTTGCCCAGAGTTGAGTCAGTAGCGGGCTCCGAGTGCACTTCTCGTTAAAGTTTAACTTTTCCGACTCCTGAGGATCCAAGATGCCCTCTGCTTCTTCGGTCCTTATGCAGGGAAAAAACAGAGACAGAGATTCGGGAAGGTTCTGGGAAT